TCATTTTGGAAAAGTCCTAAGGGCCCCCAGTGGGTGAGGCAAAAGACAAGAGATTCTTTTAGCTCCAAACTCTTCCTGCCAGGAACAAAAGAGAGCGGTTCAGCGGGGAAAACTGCACAAAACCAGGAGACCACCAATTGACTGGTGATGGGAACAGTGGGGTGTGGCCATCTGGGGAAACCAGGAGGGTCAGGTTTGGCCCCCAGGACTGAGGTTCTGCACCTCTGCAATAATCCATGCCACAAATGTTTATGGGCATACAGTAATAAAGAAGTTAGCAGGAAAAATGCACTATAGATGGCCAAAATACTTTTTGATCTTGCATATCATTTTTTGTATTAAGAGACAGCATGGACAAAAGGCAACGTGGAATGACAGCTAATGCAAACAATAAGTATCCAAGTAGCTCTATTGGCATGTGACAGATATGATGTCCAAGTCTTGGGATTAATTAAGATTAGTGGTCTGGTCTGGATACATTTTCCAACAGTGATTATGGAAGAGAAATATTAATGTCTCCCAGTCTGGGAGACACTCACTGTGTGCTACTGTATATATTTTAGTTGTTATTGTTTTAATTTATTGTGTATTTTATTAGATGTTGTAAGCCGCCCCGAGGCTTCGGCAAGGGGCGGCATAGAAATGTTTTAATAAATAAATAAAAATAAAATAAAATGGTTGGGCCAGTCACTAGCCAAAGGTTATGCAGCTGCTACCGAAGAGATTTTTGTTATCAAGGCTGGACTGGGAAATAAGGCACAGGCTGTTCAGTCCTGTGGCTGTTGAACAGTGTCTAGGTGGTCTTAGGATTTCCCACCAACTAAGTTTGAAAATTTTCTCCTACAGTGTAGTTCATGCTCATGCTTGGGTCCCACTCACACCTGGTATGGAAGGAACTATTGCAACTGCTTTGGGCTGGTTGCATGCTAGGAACATGGAGACCATGGCCAAGCAACACGACAAGTCATGGTGGTATGGAGAAACCATAGAACAAACCATTGTTTCTTATCATGGTTTTAAAGACCATACTTACTACTGTGAAATACCATGACTGAATTTGGACAACACAACAGACCAAAAATGGTAAAAAAAAATCAAAACAAAACACTATGACTTATGATGTTATCTGAACCCAGACATTGTGATGGTTGGAACTTAATTGTGTGGTCCCTGCCCTCTTTTAATGTTTTTGCTTGCTTGTTTGCTTAATTACATGAAAATATACTGGCATTTAGCATTTTGAGAAAATTCACATGGAATACTGAGAGTGAACTGTTATTCTGTTTCAGAGATTTATGTCTGGTAATAAGCAAAGTGCCTTTTTTTTTTAAAGAAAGTTTATTTTACCATGGCTTTTCCTCCTTCTCTTTTCATTCACTCTCTTTCTCAGCTTATACAAAGCTCCCCTTTCTCCTCTAGTGCCACTTTTCTTTTCTCTCTGTTTATTTAGATTCTGAGCCTATGGCCATTTGTTTTTTAATTCAATTTCTTATTTGAATTTGTCTGCCCCACACATTGTTGCATAAATAATAGATGGCAGCTTAGAAATGTGTCCTTAACTGCTTTTCTATGTCCTTAAATACTTTAATTGATTACATTTTTGAATTTCAGGTCAGATTATCACCAGTAGCATTGCAGATATCATCACAGACTATTCCTTCAAGAACATTCTTAGGAAACTGCCACAAGAAAAGCAAACTGGAGTGGCACCATCAGTATATGATGACAATTATCTGGGTATGTGACATGATAATTTTACTGGGCATTGCACTGTATTATGCTTTTCTGGTGACATGGTATAAAAATACCTGCTCCAACCCGAGAAGATCCATATAAGATACCTCTTCCACATATTTCCAGTGTTTTGGATCTACTGGCTTTCCTGGGCACATCTTTTGATATGAATTGGAATACATGTCTGTTTGCAAAGATACAAATGGTTACCTTTCACTGGTGTAAGAAGTATAGCTGGATTGGAGGTAATAATCAATTTTGTGTGTTAAAAAAACAATTTCTATGGCTTTTAATCATCCAATATATGGTACAAAGTCTCTGTGTCATTGTTTAAAAATATTGTGCAGTTTAACCCGAAACAGCTGTTGCTTAAATCAGGATAGAGGTTTATTATTCAACTTTGTGTGTTAATTAGTTTACCAGGATGCCTGTGTTATCAGCAACACGTTTTGTGAATGGATCCAGCAAATAGCATGTTTATCACTGTCTGTACTTAATGTGTTTCTTTTTCCTCTGCCCTCATGGTTTGCAGGCTCTGTGTCCTTCCTGCCAACCATGTGTGTCTATAACTGCAGCTGGGTTGGGGACCAACCCTTTTGGAATCTGTCCCTTTAGTATCTGCATCTTGTGCTCAGCCTAACCCGCAGCGTGAGCTAAGCCCAGGGGAAGTCTGCATAGGCTCACAGAGCCCCAGTTGTACAACCAGCAACCCCTCCTCCCAGGTGCAGCAACCCAAACACGCAGAAGAGGGTCACTGCTAGCGGTCACGCCTAACACTGCTCCCAGTGGCCGCAGTGACCAACTTTCCTCCCCAAGACCAACTTTCTTCTGTGCCCAGTGCAGCTGCAGTACCAGACACAAAAGTAGGGCTCTGCTTGTGCAGCCATGGCCCAATTCTTGGCAAGTGCCCCCTGAACACCTGGGTGCACTCACGAGGACCTCGGTCTCAGGGCCACTACAAAGCATGAATCTTGAGTAAGAGCTTGTGTGGACTCTGTGAAATAGAAGTGTGCCTTCATTTTGCAGCACATGCGTGAACACGTCAGGCTGTGGCACAGGGCGTCCCATGGGAAGGTACACGGAGTCCACCACTGGCCCATGAGCCCAGCAGTGTGGAGACCCTGACAGGCAGTGGCCCTGCAGGCTCTCAGGCAGCAGGGTTCCCAAGCCCCACCTGGACATGCTAAGGACTGAACTTGGGTCTTCCTGCATGTCTACTAGAGGCAGAGTAAATATCACATCGACATGATTATAAAGTATTAATGCACTAACAGCTCATCTTGAGTTAGAGTCACCCCCATGTTTTTTCCTGGTTGTTTCAGTCTGTGGATTTATTGAGCTTCAGAGACACATAACATAGTTAGTCATAAAATCCTGACACATGGTTTTCCTTTACCTGGCCTTGGGTACTCTAGTTTATAACATTTTTAAATACAGATTATTGAAACAGAGAGTAGATCTGGTTGTCCTTCCAAAAACCAGCCTCTTCAAGCATAAGTGGTTTGACAGACTTCATCCTTGTTCGTTTCTTTTTCAAAAGGGTACTCAGTGGCTGTTGGTGAATTTACAGGAGACTTCCAACAAGGTAAGACGCTAATAGCTTTCAGTATAAAGGCTAAAGTATGTTAATTCCTTACTTTTATTCAATTTCAGGGTTTCAGTCCAAAAGACAAATTCCATTCCTGAGAAGTTTCAGGGACTACATCCTGAAAGTGATGAGATATTGGGCCAAAAATACTAATATCAGCATATTTTAATATAAAGCACTTATTGCCAGTACCTAAATATTAGGAAAAGACTTTCAACCATGTAGAAAGGGGAACATGGCACAAAAGCAAGGAAACCACCAACAGTTGGAGGTTGAGAAAAGGAGTACATGCATTCTTCTTCTTTACACAATGTATTCTTGGATCACCGCTGAGATAGATTCTTTTGTGGGGAACCTCTTAAGTGATGAGGCCTGCTTCTGTCCCCAGTTCCATGGCTGTGGAAGCTCTTTATCCAGTCATGGAAACATTGCTGACCAGACCACAATCACCCAGTTCAATCGTGCTGGGATGGGAGTCCTCGAAGTTCTTTTGCTTAAATATGCATAGGGTTGCACCCTTACTTATTAGAGCGAACCACGCAAAAGCTTTTCGCTAGAAATTAAGGACCACTGACATGTACAAAAATGGAGCAAATCAGCACGCATACGCAAAGAGAGTTCAGTGCTATTGAAATCACTAGGAAAGACAACAAATTGGTACTGTTTTATATGCATTCGGTGTTGATTCCTGTCATGGGAACGATGTGCAATGTATTATGCACACGGTCCCAGTCTTGAGTTCTGTATGCACACATGAAATTTCTCCTTGAATGTGCTTCTATAGGTACTTTTAGCTCCATCCTTCTGTTTGTTGAGGTTGCTATGCTTATAAGGAATTAATGGGTCATTTTTGTACCTGGATGTATCCTGAAGACTTCCAGGTAAGACTGAAGTTCATGAGGGCAGTCATGTGCACAGACTCAAACTGTTTTCTCTCTTAAGGATACCATATTGAAATCATTAGTCCTCTCTCATGGGTTTTACTCCATATGGTACAGTCTCCATTGTATTGGATAAAAGCAAATGATTTGGGTTGGTCTGGGGCTTAGGATTTTAGGTGTCTGCCTCAGTAAGATTTGTGAACAGAAAAATTAACTGATGAGGAGGGAAGTGGTAATATATCAGGACTTGTTACTCTTTTGTACTTCACCCTTCAACTTCAGGCAATTTCTTCTTCTGTGTGTCAAATAATTCAAATATGCATGCATGTTGTAGAGTATCTGCTGCAAAGATAAAGGTTACCCACTAACAGTTTCTATGCAATTATTTGTAAGCAGGTATTACATTAAGTTAACATTTAGATTATTAATTTCTCTTTAGAGCTGGTAGCTGGAGTCCCAAGAGGTGCACAGAACTTTGGTTATGTATGTAATCTTTCAAATGTTTTATTCCTTCTCCTCCTTCCTGCCACCCCATGAATTTTCATTGCCCAAAGCATATTTTGCTTAAAAATAAAAATAAAACCAAGTTCAGTTTTAAACTGAAATTCCTTCATTAGCTTGAAGTGCAGTCTTATTTAAGGATAAATTCATAGGGACTGCTTGAAGTACAGTCTTGAAACCATCAGAAACAGACCAAGCAGGGACTGAAGAAAGGACATAGTTTTTGCTTTGATTAGTTATATAATTGTACTCATCATATTTTCCTTAAGTGTTGGGGGAAGGCACAGTTTTAAGGTTCAAGTGCTTGTTTATCCTTGTGTTTATTTGAAGTAGTGATGAGTAGTATATTTAGAACAGTAGGACTATAAATTCAGAAACAGAGCCTTCTAATTATTTTGGAATACAATTCTTTATAGGGTAACTGACAGATTTTTCTTTTCTGTTTCCAGGTTTCAATTATAAATTCTACAGATTTGACCTTTATTCAGAATTTCACTGGAGAACAGGTGATTTTCAGTCATTCAGCATGGCTATACAGAAACATTTTAAGACAGGGAATACAAGGTTTTCCAAAGCATTATAGCACGAAATATATTTTAAGCAACTGTATGTTAAAGAGATTTTAATGGAAATTTTGCTAGTTATGAACAGCGGTTTTAAAGGGGTATTTGCTATAAGGCAACTCTTTTTTTACAGATGGCGTCTTATTTTGGATACACGGTTGCTGTTTCAGACGTTAACAATGATGGGTAAGTTGCTCATAGCAACATATTCACTGTATGCTTCATTTTTCTGTATCTACCCTGATTAATTTAGGTTTTAAATATATTCAACCCACCTAATCCTCAACTGGACTCAGTGCATGGACTCAGTGCATTGATGGAGATCTTTGCTTAGCTGTGTAGGTTTAGTTAGAATTAGATTCCTAAATCTTATAGGTAGCATAATTTTTTCTGGAAAATTTCAAATTTCCAGCAATCAAGTACATCATTGGTCAGTGAAAATATTTCTACTCCACACCAATGTTTGGAAAGCCACATTAACTGGGACTGCACAAATTTCAGGGCATCTATTGGCTGGTGCCCAGGACACCCCACTGAAGACAGGCAAGCCATCCTCCCCTAGCATCCTTCCCTAGCATCCTTCCCTAGCATGCCTGCACCATTTTGAGCACCGCCACCTCACTTATTTTAAGTATTTGGTTTACTGTGTTAGAGACTCAGTGCTTCTTGATATATTGCCCCAGCAGGTTTGCTCATAGACTCTGAAAACAGGGTGGGTGGGATGACTACGAAATATGCCCAAAGTATTCATGTTAGCAGAACTTACATTTGTTAGATGGTTGATTATTTTAACAGGGGTGCAGAAGCTTGGGTCCAAGGGCCAGATCCATCCATCCCAGGGTTCCCAGTCCAGCCCTCCAGACCCTACAGAAGCTCATACTCCTTTCCTACTAGCCATTAGGTGGTTTCCCAGCTTTTGTGCAATTATTTCACTATTCTGAAAGGACGCACTTTATTTATATATTTATTTTTACATACTGCCCCATTCCCATAGGCTCTGGGTGGTTTACAGGAAATTAAAACAACACATGGTTAAAATTTGTCAAAAACATATTAATAAATCTTATCTGATAATTAATCTGAGAAGGCCCATCAGAAGAGGTCTCTCTTTAATTCCTTCTTGAAGGTAGTAGTCTGGGATATCAGACACATCTCTCCCTGCAGACCATTCTACAGTTTAAGGGCAGCCACTGAGAAAGTCCTCTGGGTAGCTGACATTAATCTTAGAGAAGTAAACTTGAGAAGATTATCTCCAGATTATCCACTTTATCTCCTAAAACGTTGTTACTGGAGCTTTAAACTACGCTGGTCGTTTGGCCCCATCCCCTGTGCTTCTTGGACTACCCCACCAAGCACTGAAATATGGCACCCATGAATTAGAAGGTGTAAATCAAGCAGGTTATCAATTCTTGAGGAATTGCATTCAGTTTGTAAGATGAAAATTCTATGTGCATATTTGTTTACATTTCTCTCTCTCAAAGGCAGTATAAATGTTAAAAGTTTAAAAAGGAAACAAGACACGCTCTAAAATAGCAGTCCTCAAAGCATCCGGATAAAAACTCCACTTTGAATTCCCAGCAAAACAAAAAGCCCTTTCAAATTTATGTCTCCCACTTCCCACGTCAGCTTGAGCCATTTAATGCTTTTTACTGCTTCCTATTCCAATGACCAGTTTCTCCTTCAGTCAGGTCATCCCTAATCTACTTAAACCTGGAAAAGTGTCTGAAGGCAGTAGTTGCTTGAATAACATCAGTTAGGGAGGAGAAAACTGTTAACAGAGATGCAAAGCGTTATTATGGAGCTGGAGATAGGATTGAGAGAAGCAAGAGGTTTGGGACCTGATTCTTTTAACAGGTTTGCAAAAGAACAAAACAAAGCAAAAATGGAGCAAAATATTTTCTTAAGTCCTTTTCTCTCTCGCCCATTTCATAAATGAGAGATTTCAGATTGGATTTGGATCATATCAAGACTTGATTTAGGGGAGTGTTGTCTACATCAGCCTTTCCAGAACTGGTGACCTCTAGATACATTGGACTGCAGTGCCCATCGTTCCCAATCTGGGGTGATGGGTGTTGAGTCAAACACATATGGAGAGAACCAGGCTGAGGAAGTCTGGTGTATGCTGATGCTGCCAGTCTCCACAATTTCTGAGGCAGTCTTGGGATGGGGGGGACTGATTCTGCAGCCTTCTGCTTGCAAAGCAGGTGCTCTGCCACTGAGTTGCAGCTCTGCTCTTTAAGGCTAGTGGTGCAAAGTACAGAGCGCATAGATCTGCTCAGCACACACTGGGACCTGCAAAATGAGGAGCAGCGGTCAGAGAGACATTTATGCACAAGATTCATAATGCAAAGGAGATTTATTTTTGTTAGGTTAAACCACACGCCTAATAAAAATGCATCAACTGTCTTCTGTTTGTTATTATATCACTGTCTTAAATAGTTAGGCTTTGACTTCTCCATACTCCCCTCTGCTTCTGCTGTTAACTGTCCAGCAGCACACAAAAGAATTGCATAAAATTTCAGCAGGTGATCAGCTTGTGCTTTTGAATCCTGCTTTATTAAAGAGGAAGTGCCTGTGCCTCTCACTCTGTGAATGCACAGGAACAAACAAACAGTCTGATTTACAGTGCATAAATGCAATTTCATGGTGCAGCCATGAAAGTGGCACAACAGTCAAGCACCATTGTGAAGCGGCTCTTAGTACTATTGAATGGGCTGCAGCATTGCCTCATGCTCCTCTTGCCCTTTTTGCTTGGATTTGGCTCAATAAATGATCCTATTTATAACCAAAGACAAACAGAAATGTTCTTCAGCTTAAAAATGTCTACTACAAACAGATGTTTTAAAACATACAACTCCCCATGCACTGTTTGAACACTTGAGGGGCTGACTCAACATCATTGTTTTTGTTATTTGAATTAGAACATGGAAAATGATATGCAGCTAAGATCTGAAGCAGTGACAAGAACAGCCTGATGATCTTGAGCTGTTGTGCTAGTGTAGGGGCTCATAAATCAGAGAACGGCTTCATGCAAGGGCAGGCCCTTCCCCCTGTGATGGAGGTGGACCTGCCTTCAATACTGGTGCCACAGGGCCGTTCACTCTGTTTCACCAGACTTCTCTGTCAGTCCAAACATTTTGCATAAGGGACTTTCGGGGATGTTCCATTATATGTGCAAATACCAAGGCTGTTGACTTCAGATCTGAGCTGATAGAGGGCACGAACATTTGCTAGTGATGGCCTGTTTCAGGTATGACTATTAATTTGTGATTTTGTGTCATGCACCCACGTCTTGGGGTTGTGCACTTCCTCTCCTCCTTCGGTGTGGCTGTGAGGAAGAAATTCCTCAAAGGACTGTCTTCACCCCAATCTACTTGCCAGCACTTTTCAGAAAAGCAGCAGAGGCCCTTCTCACCTGCCTACCTTTGCGGGCCCATCCCTCTGGAATAGGTTCCATTGGAGGTCCACCAGGCCCCATCATTACAAATTTTCAAAAGGACTCTGAAGGCCTGCTTGTTTTCTCTGGGCATTTCCTGATTAAGCTTTGCAAATTTTTAAAAGGACTCTGAAGGACTGCTTGTTTTCTCTGGGCGTTTCCTGATTATGCTTAGATCAATTGTAGATTTTATATTTTAGTACTGTTAGGTCAGATATGATATGGCACGAGTTTGTTGAATTTATTCATATTTGCACCTTTATCATTGCATGGGATTTTACTGTGTGCTATTTTATTCTGTAAACTGCCTTGAGAGGGCTCTTGTCCTGGAATGCCATACAGAAACAACTAAAATAAATAAATAAGCTTTTAGTTCTATTTTAAGTTAATCATATTTCAGAGTCAAATTCAGTGTTTAAACTATGGCTAAACTATGATTTATTGAAAGAAGCCAGCTTCATAAACTATTGTTGCCCATGTGTATGTTCCTTAAAATGTCCATACTTTTCTTTAAAGAAGGGATTAAACTAAATATTGGATTGATACTTTCTTTGGCTTTCCTTCTGCAGGTTGGATGACATCCTAGTTGGTGCGCCTCTCTTTATGGAACGAGAATTTGAAAGCAACCCTAGGGAAGTTGGACAGGTGTATCTTTATCTGCAAGAGAGCACCCTGCCCTTCAAAGATGCACAGACACTGGCTGGCACTGAGGTGTTTGGCAGATTTGGCAATTCCATTGCACCTCTTGGAGATCTGAACCAGGACGGATATAATGGTAAAACATTGTGTCTTCTTTAGAGGGCGAACACAAATTACCCGGGTAGCTGAATATGGAAATGATTCGGTTACAAAGACATTTTGCTAGATAGTGGGAAACGACCTATGTATTGATATTGAGCCAAGAGCTTGATGGATGGATCTTTCCTCCAAAAACTGAATGTGTGATGAGTTAACCATCTTAAGCAGAGTCACTGAAGGGTAATGCAGTACGCCGCTGTAGGTAGGTGTCTCAGATTCACATCCAGATGAGTCTCAGATTGGAAGATGGAGTTGCTAAAGCTCTCAGATAGAAAAGCAGCAACAAGCAGTGACTCCTTATATTTCTTTTCACCAAAAATATATTTCTCATCACTTTCTGCTGAAGCTGATCTGGTAAATATAAATTAAAATGGAAGAGAAGTGCTGGAGAATCTGTCTTGCTCTGGAGGGAATGCCTAGCCCTTGACAAAATGGTCAGACCATGACAACTCCTCATGGGTTAAGTTAACTCCTCCACACCTGAACCACCATCTTCCACATTTGTTGAAAAGATCAGCTCCAAGGTATGCCCCATTTCATCTGTTGGGCCAGTGACATGCAGTTGAACATTTAGAGAAAAGAGGGCAGGATTTTATGGTCTTTTGCCGTAAATACATTCATCACATATATAGAGGGCAAATCCTGTTGTTTGAACAGGGCTGTAGTGACATGAATATGGGTGGGCAACTTGTGGCCCTCCAGATGTTTTGACCTACAGTTCCTATTATACTTCACCACTGGCCATGTTCACCGGAGCTGATGGGCCAAAGCATCTTGAAGACTGCAATGATGTAGACAAAAGGATTTGCCTGCATGCCAAATCTGAGGACAAACAAAGTGTGTGTGGGAAGATTATCAACATGATGAATCTCTAGTTGTACGTGGTTATTTGGGAAGAATGTCCATTCTGGAGTGCATCTAAATGTGCATTGTATTAACAGTCATTCAGGGAAGAGGGGTTGCAGCTACCTGTGCGTTGATGCTGCCCTCTAGGAATGTGTTTCTTTCAATGTGATGTGCAAATGGATGCCCAGAGGCACACACCCTCCTCTGCAGCACCCCAGCTAGCTAACTCCATGCACCTGGATTGAAGTGAGGGAGCGTTGCCCCCTTTATCTTGGAGATGCATACCCTCTCCCCCCAGTGATACTGGCCCACTTCCAAACGGTTACATACACGTTGAAGAAGTGTTGTGAAAAATTGATCAAGAAAACCGTATGTCTCATGAGGGCTAAAAATATGTCTGGAATGGGCCCTGCCTAACTTCACTCATCTTCCTTCTCATAAGGAATTAAATTGGTCCTGCTGTTCACTTTGCCATCTCTCACCCTCTTGTTTTGCAGACATTGCAATAGGCGCACCCTTTGCAGGAGAAGACAGAAGGGGGAAAGTACTCATTTACAATGGAGCCAGTAACGGGTTAAACTCTAACCCTTCCCAGGTTCTCCGTGGCATGTGGGCCTCCCAGTCTATGCCTGCGGGATTTGGTTTTACGCTAAGAGGAGACTCAGACATAGACAAGAATGATTACCCAGGTAAGGTTCCTCCAAAAGAGAGGGGAAGATCTTCCTCTGGAAAATGCATCATTCCTAAATGGCAATTTTTGGAAGGCAGAGGTCAAAATACAAAATAGGGTTCACTTTTGTCTGTAGTCTTTGCTTGGCTTCCCTGAGAATCTGGAGTTGGACAAAACAAATACTCCCTTTCCTGTCCTGAGAAACCATTTGAAATGCAAGTAAGCCTGAAACAGATACAGTAACATAAAACACCTGAATCTTGCAAAGAAGAAAGAGGCTGGGGGAAGAGGAATGTTAACCCTTCAGCTCCCTGTCCAGAATCTGAAGAAAAGAACTGTTTTAATGTACTTTGGATGGTCTTCTGATTTTGAAATACAAATATATACCCTTTTAATTTTAAAGATTCCCAGCATGACTTACAGATACAGAATTGTTGCTATTAAACAAAACAAGGACATATAAAATGAAAGCTATTAAAGTTACAGTTCAGAAGGTGCAAACATGATACTACCCTAACATTTTTGAATTTTCTGGCTTAATATATGAACTGCAGTACTTACAGAGTTGTTTAAATATGGTTTCTCCACTTGGTGCCCTGCAATTGTTTTGGACTGCAATGCCCAGCATTCCTGACAACTGGTGATTCTGGTACGGTCTGAAGGGGGCTGCAGTTCAGAACATCAGGGAAAGCCGCAGATTGGGGAAGTCTGATGCAAATCTTGCTGCAGCAAAGTCACTACCAAGTAGCGTAGCGTTCTGCTTAAGCAGATGTGGCATCCCTAGGTACCTTTAGAAAAGCAGCAATCTGCCTTTCCATCCAAGCTCCCACACACATGTGCAATATGTACATGGGTGGCAATTATACTGTCAGCCTCCCTTGCCTGGATGTGCTAAGGATTAGTAATATAACATATGACATGCTTAAGGCATAATCTTAAAAGGGGGGCACGACTCCCAGCATGTCCCAGCCAACATCACATATGCTAGAAGTCATGGGCTGTTTTTCCTGTCTAAATGTGCAAAGGATTGTGCACTCAGAGCACGTGGGGAAATCACTGTTTGTGTATTAGATTAGATCCAGGCTAAGGTAGTCACAGTTTGGTCCCAGTGGAATCAGTGGGTCTTAAATTAGTCATGACCACGTTCTCCAGGAAGTTTCCATAGAACTAAAGCATATCTTGGTCCAACTCATTCTCTATTTTTCTTAGAAATGCACGCATAAGATGGAGCGTTGGTTCTTTTTGTCAAGAATATTCCTCCCCTGCTTATTTGCCCTGATCTTTCTTCCTTAATTATTTTGGTTGTGAATGTTTTCCCTTAACAATTAATATTTTACTGATGTCATCTGGTATTTATCAACACTGCTTCACTATTGGAGCTTTCACTCTTTATTTTTTGAAATGGAACTTATCCAGTTTGGGGCAGTGTTCCAACACCATCTGTCATCTAAATGCACAACATCATTTTAATTTGATTCTCTCCATTTTCCCCCTCCTTTGGGATCAAGCATACAACAGACCACAACATTTCTCTTTGTCGGGATGTGAGAAGGCCCTCGACATTTGTAACATAAACCGCACAGTAGAACTGCTGTAGTCCAAGACTTAGATTATTTTGCTGGCATCAGCCCTATTGTACTTAATTGGAGAATTCTGGATGAAGATTCTGGAATATCTTTGCCACTGTGCTCTGTTAACCTACTGTACTAATGTTTTTAGATAGTTTGTTTTGTGATGGTTTGCAATGATTATTTCCCCCCTTTCTCCTTATTTTTCTTAATCCTGCTGGCTGGGGTTGTAGTGTTGTGTCCTCATCTCCATTGGCTTTGAGAAAAGGGAAAATCGGAGGATAAAACTTTGTGGAGTTTTTATCTCTTTGATGTCTTTAAAGGCTATAAAGGCAGGCTCTTCAGCATACTTCCATGGAAAAAGGTTCCACTGAGCTCAGCAGCAGGCCAAGCAACATGTCAGAATTCCTGACCTATTTTTTTTTTTAAGTAGCTAGAGATGCGTGTACTTATTTGAAGCAGCACTGCCCAGAGCTAGCTGAATGCATTTTGCTGCCTGGAGCAATCAAGTTGGTGTTCTCAGCCCCACATTCCGTATACAGAAGCCAGATGGGCTGTGTTGGCATCTAGCGAGTTTAGTGGACCCAGGGAACATATAACGTGGTCACCGGTACCTCCCTGCCTTTCCCACCTGTCTAATCTCTGCAGCCTGAGATTGCCTTCTCATTCTGTCTTACCGCAGGGCAGTTCTTGCACCATTTCATCCACTGAAATATCCACCAATAACAGTGAACTGGTATGATCTCTCCTTTGGAAGAAAAGACAGATATCCATAGTGCTTCTGTTTTCTGCCTTCACTGCTAACCTCAGTACTTGTTTTGGATGGGAGGCAACTTCAGTTACAAACCTGGTTAAATTACTTCTCTCCCAAAGCCATTGCCCTGATACCAGACACTCCTTTATTCCATGACTGCTTTTGCTTTCAAGAGGAGCACTGGGTGAACCAGTCATGGGTCTCATATGTAATGTGAGGGTTGCCTCCTGTACTTTTAAGTAGTTCTGCATCAAGTTGTAAGGATATGCCCTTGATATGAGTCCGGATTCACACACTTCTCCGTCCTTTGATTCTGCACACACTTCTCTGTTCATTCCAAGGGTAATTGTGGGCTTCTTCTTTTGAAATGAACTATGAACTCCTTCTAGGCCAAAATGGAAGTGGAGCAGTATAACCACCCTGCATCGGTTGGAAACAGATACCTGATTAGTATATATTGTTTGTGAAGATACGCTCTTATAGCTCTTATCCACAGAAGGAAAACTTGTGTAAATTGAGTGTCAAGGAAAATGCATAGTCATGATAACTGGAGAGAAGTTCTTTAATGGCTAAAAAGGACTGTCATCCTGGGGTTCTCTCTTCCATACCTCATAACAGCACACAATACAGATATTGACACAACTGCAGTGGGTCTACAAACTGTTAGTTTTCAAGCCATTTTAAATTTCACAAGAAAGTTTTTTTTTAAGTAGACCTGCAGTGCAATTAATCCATTAGGTGATGCAGTTAAAAATCCTTTTCATCAACTGAATTCCCCCCCCCACCCTGTTAATGGGCAGTAGTTTTTAAAAAGTTAATTTTAATACAGTGCCCAGTATTGACCAAAGCTATGGATGTCATGTAATAGGCCAGCATCCTATTAGAAGAGGCATTTCCCCTTCTGTCTCAGAGGTGTGGGGAATTCATGACCTTCCAAATGATGATGGACTCCATTTCCCAGTTCCTCAAGCAGCACAGCTGACGTCCAGGCATAATGGACCTAGCAAGTTTTGTAGAGCTGCACGTTCCCCACTCTTCTCTACAGCATGAGGGGATGATTCTTCAAATCTGGTGCCTGCTGAGGCACAGCTCCATTATCTGAAAACCAGCAAAGTTACTTTTTTATTCAGTAGTGTTTTTTTCATCACATTTTTACAAATTAAATTCTTCAAAATGGGTTTCCTTAGTCAACTAAGATGCCTTTAAACAGGCAACAGTCCTAATTTTAGACTTCTACTAACCATCTTAAAGCCCTTTCCAGTCCTATAGTAGGGATAGTGTAGCATTATTGGGAAGCGAAATCTGCCACTATATTCCATGTAAAAACATGCTGTGATTTCCTGTAGAGTTGGTTATGCCCATGAAAATAAGAATAGATAGTCTGAGATTAGCAACCTTAAAATATTTTGAAAAAACTTCCAAGTTTTGACTGAGTTTGACAAATATGAGCAGATATATTTGCAAGAATTAAGAGATATAATATGCTTAGTGGATAATTTATTTTCCTTTGCTTAAGAATTTAACAACATCTGCCTTGAAAATTATCTTGAAGCACAATCCAAGGTCAAGTATGCTGATTAAAATATAAATGGGGTTGGAAGAGTCTTCTTAAATTGTGAACATTAGGAGAGTTTTGGAGAAGCAATTAACTTTCAGAATCAGTATTTTTTTAAACAGGGTTCTGTATCATATATTCAGTAAGTGCTAAAATAATAAACCTGACACAGCACTGAATGCAAATACCTGAATGATTAATCCTCATAGAACCCGCTCTTGCTATTGTATATGTTAGGAAACTAAGCAGGGAAAATCTCCAGTGACTTTACAAAGAATAATTGAATCCAGTTACTTTTGCTATTGCTCAGGCATTTTGCTTAGAAATTCTTGATGTCGATTCATGCCCTAAGCATGCATTTGGGCAGGCACGGCCACACAGGGGAAACTTCTTCCGTTTCTTTAGATTTCTAAACTGCCCAGTAGACAAAACTCGAAGTACTTCACCGAGATGAAAAACCTTAAAATTCAGGATTATGAATTATAAATAATACTGTAAAATAGTATCACTGTAAATGGTTTAGCAACAAACATATAAGACCATACCCATTTATATACATAAAGAAGGACCCCCATTTGAGAGCCACAAACCACAGGTGATGGCAGTGGGTGGCAAGTGGCAAGAGGGTGCTCAAAGAGCCACACGTGGCTCCCAAGTCTTGATTTGGCCACCCCTGCTATATACATTTCTTTTTCCTCATTTCATTCATACTTACCTCAGCACTTTAAGTCTTTCTTTAGCACTTTATGGCCCTTTACAACTTCTGTTTGGCACTGTACAACTTCTCCTTCGGACCAAGGTCAACCGTGGTTAACTGAAAGTAACCCTGACAGTGGATATGGGGGTCCTGCTGTACACACATATCCAAGCAATGACCCATGATTTGGTGAAAAACCCTTGTACATTGCCAAATGCGTGGAACAGAGGAAAGGCCTAACCTGCCGACATTGACACTGTATGTAAATCCTGCAATAATTCTTGCATGGAGCAGCTAACAAGTGTTGTGTCAAATCGCCTCCAAAAGCAATCCTGATGAATGGAGCCTAGGTACTCCCAGTACAACTTGGGAGTCAGCTGGTGATCCTGTAACACAACTCCATTTTGTGACCCTATATCCACATAACAGCATCTCAGAGAATGATTGAAAGTTTCCCTTGTCTCTTCTATGCATGGATGAAGGGCCGTGGAAGGGCCTCATTTGGTAGGAGTTCTCCACCCACACACTTTTAAAAAGCTGCCCACAGTTACTTCTTTCCTTCCAAAATATTCAGCCTTTCCCTCTTGGCAATGGTGGGTATTATTCATTATCTATATGGAAAGTAGATGATGATTCTCTTTAGGAGGTAGAAATGCATGCATGGAATTCAAGGAGCTGGAAATCAAGTCCCAAATTCTTTAGAGATTTAGCTATATCCTAGTGATGATTTATATAGACAACTGTTTCCTTAAATCAAAGCCATGGAGATTTGTTCCCCTTAAGAAAACATCATAAATAAAAGTCAAATACCCAGTAAAAGGAATAGTATAATTTAATCTTACATTTTATGTAGTTTTATTTCAGGTTTTGCTTGGAGAAGATTCAGACACAGTTTAACATCGTTCTCTCTCCTTTTGGAGAAAATATTCTGCAAATTGTACAAAAGTTTTGCTGTCAGCTAGCAAAAATATATCTGTGGCATTTTCTGAGAGGAAATATGAATGGCATGACTAAAGGATTCTCTATTTTTAGGATAATGATGCTGCCAGGCTTCAGTTAATGTAGACAGCTCAGACACTTGATTTTGATTATTATTTGCAAAACTCTAAATGTTTACAAAGCCCATCAATGATTTTGGCACTCCAACCATGGAAACCTGCGCTTTAGCTAAAGCAAAGAAAGGAAAGAAAAATTTCTCTAGGTTTTCTGTGTAGTTCAATGTAAAGGACTCTGAAACAAGAGTACGGTGAAAATTAGTATAAGAAGTGAGAATTGCAGCAAAGTACAGTGTACTTTTGGCCAGTGTTCTAGGCAGATTTCTTCTCCAAAATACTCCATTCCATTTTCCCTCTCCTACCTACTTTTTCATTCTTTCCCACCAAGTCAGCATCCCGCAGCTACTGAACATGATTTCTTGTCCCTGCATTTTTCTAGAGATCCTGCCCTACACATCTAGGGTTCTTTGCCTAACTAATTTTGGTCCATGTGCAGACTTTGTGGTTCCTGATAGCCTGTTGTGTGGATAGTGCCATTTTTACTATGTAAGAATCCATATCCACCTCTGAATGTTAGAAATGGGGGAAATGATTATGACTGTGTTTGGACACTGCGATAAACGATGATCTGTATAATAAACATGGGTGGGCAGCATCAAGCTGACAGGCCCCAGGCAGCCCTTGCTGTAATTTGCAGCAGCAAAAATAAACAAATAAATGAAATTAAGAAATATGCCTGTTGCCAAATTTCAGCAACAAAACAGCACAAAGTAATAAAAGGATCAAGTTTAGCTTGAGGACAAGCTAAATTTGGCCTTTTCGTAATTCCATGGTGTTCTGCTGCTGAAATTTGGTAGAAAAAATACCAAATTTAGTGGTGTGGCAGGGTTGTGGCCCATGCAAGGAATGGGGCAGGGGAAGTAATACTTGAGGTTGCCTGCCCCTGGTTTGTCATGATAGGTGGTAACAAGATTAGGTGAGTCTTGCATTCACTCACTTTCTCCTCCTCTTCTTCTTCAGTGCAGTCATGATGAGTTCTGAAGCATGTGCTTCTGGTTTTGGTTAGCCACACCTTGTCCTTTCAGTGAAACCCAGTAAACTGCAGCTAATCTTAACTATGTAAAATGTGCTTGAAATGATTTTAAACCATGGGTTATGAAGCTGGCTTCTTTCAGCAAATCATGATTAAAACTAACTTCAGTTCAGAGTTTGTACAATGTGCTAAACTGATTAATAAAAAGCAAACAGAATCCATCTTTATGCAAATAAAAAGGGAGTTATTGGGGGGCGGGGAGCAGTTACTCTGTATATACAGATGATTTATATTCCAAAGAGTAATGACTGTATTTTCACTCAGGAATCTTTACCCTTTTTCTGGGCGTGGAAGAGGTTGTTTGCTGCGATTAAAAGGTTACAGAATGATGAAGAGAGCTCACATAGGTCCACTTTCTCTTTAGGAATTGATCCTATTACCTTCTGATTGCTGACACCATCCAGGAAAACGAAACATTAGTGGTCTGTAAGAACTCATCAAATAGTGTGTGTGTGTGTGCATAGGGGTGGGTTGGTTGGTTAGTAAGGAGAACTACTTTAACTGAGTTTGCAATTAATGAAAGCAAACTCAGAATTTGCATGGGCTACCACTGCGCACCTGCATTTTGTTAATTTTGTTCTTTTCACATCAATAAAGATTATGAAAAATGTTCTGACAGTATTGTCTGTGTTTCTAGTGTTCCTTTTTTCTTTTCCAGATTTAATTGTGGGAGCATTTGGAGCTGGAAAAGTAGTAGTTTACAGGTATGTATTATTCTTTCCATTCCTTTTTTGTTACCTGTTCACACAAAAAGATTTCTTTCTTAGTCAGTTTTTTTCTCCCAGAGCTGTGTTTAAGCTCTTGTTTTTGCTGTTATGAACTGTTAAGTCATTTCTGACTTATGGCAACCCCATGAATGGAAGCTCTCCAAAATGCCCTATCCATGATCGCTCTGTTCAGCTTTTTTAAGTTCAAAGCTGTGTCTTCCATGGCCAAATGTCTCTGGGCAGTTCACAGTAATCCATAATTATAGAGTCAATCCATCCCGCGCTCGCTCCTTTTTTTTCTTCTTCTGCTTTCGGCATTCCCTGGCATGATCATCTTCTCTGGGGAGTTTTGCCTTCTCATGATGTGGCCAAAGCATGACAACCTGTTTTGTCATATTTGCTGCTAGGGACTCCAGTGATATGCTGTCATATATAGTGTTCCTAGCATGTTATCTTTGCAGTTATCATGTTCTGCCTGACAGCCATATAGTCACTTATCAGCTCCTCTCGATATATAGTTTTCTTCTAAAAGAAATGAATTAATGGTGTACAATTACTTCCTAGCAGTTATTTGGAGAAGTTCTAAGTAAATTTCAGACTATTGTAGTCATGTCTGTTTCCAACTGTTTTTTCAGTTGTCATTTCTGATTCTTTGTTTGGGTTAGCCACTTGGCTTCTGTTTTGTATAAGAGCAGTTTGGGAAAATTTTTCCCTTTTTCCTTCTCCTTCAACACAAATACAAAATCTGACAAAACTAAAAGAGGATGTCTCTTTTTACCCTCTTGGAGAATATTCGATTGCTGAAACACAACCCTTGCAGTCCTTTTAAAACATGATGCAACCCACACCACAGCCCCCTGATCTCAGTGCACTGATCGGACCCTTTAAACTTTAAAGCATCATGTATTTAAGCACTAGCCTAGCTGCCTCTGAGACTAGGAATTGCATGCAGCGGAGGCCATGGAAGGTGAGTGACCAGCTGCAGCCCTCCCCTGTTGGGAGAGGGCTGGTACAAGAGGGCAGCCTTGTCCCTTTCCCTCTTCTCTGCCAATCCCCGGTAGGCTCTTAATGCATTTTTGACACCTTTCCGGAACCTTCAGCTGCAAGACTGTGAATTCCAAACCATCCATGCACAAGATCTCATGTGGCATTGAGACTGCTTCTTGGGTCAGGAAATAACCCATACTTTTTATTAAATTGGTTGGCTTTCAGCTCAACCTACCTCACAGGGTGGTTGTTGTGGGGATAAGATTATGAGCAGAGGAGGCAAATGACATGAGTTCTTAAAAAAAGAAAAAAGAGAGAGAAACAGCAGGATAGAAATCAAATAAATAGGTTTAATTTATTATTATTATTAATAATAATCTTGATAAACAAGGTCTGATCATCTGTTCCCTTTTCCATGAATTGATATGTACTACATTTAAAATGCCTGTAAGAGCCCAGGCCCTGTAATGTTAACTGTGGGCCTCTTCTCCTACCCGTAGGGAACTGTACCCTGCCCCCGCAACCCCATGCACACAGAGCCTAGACAAGACCCCTCCTCGTACCTCCCCATATGGCTGCATGGGAAGCTGGTAACAAAGCAGATAACACATTTTCCTTTTCGATAGGGTTGGGTCAGTCAAGTTCATCCATCAGCTGTGCTTGCCTTCCACAATAGCTGATGGTGTGGAGGGACAAATTGTATGGTGAGAGAAAAAGAGTGAAGCAAAATAGCTGTAACTCACAACTGGAGAGGGACCAAGCTGTGATCTGTAGAATGGGAAGTAGAAATGTATTACACCCAGCATTTAGTTGTCCTGTCATAGAACAAGACACATGAGTTCCCCCTCTTTTTTCCAGCGTACCATAGACTCTAGCAAGCTTTAGGACTCCTGTTGTTGCTTTTGTGAATCCATGACTCTTCTCAACATCACACTAAGTTACTCTGGGTGCCTAATACATGGCCTAAATTGATGGGCAGAGATGTCGTTTGTAACTTGTGACTTTTGAGTAGGCAACTCAGGTATTTAGTTTTAAGATAAACATGTTTTGTGATACTAAGCACATGTTTTATATGTTTTCCCCTGGAAAAAATATAGCTACATGTACATTTAAAGGTCAGTGGGGAGTTAAATGCTCTTTCTGCCAAGAAATTGACATAAAGGGTCTTAAGAAGGGCCTTCCTTCTGAAATATATACTCCCAAACAAGACGTTTTACTCAGCTGGATTCTAGTCTTCCAATGGCCAATGTAAGATAGGCTTCCCCAACTTGAAACCCTCCAGCTGTTTTGCTCTACAGCTCTCAGCATTCCTGGCCACTGGCCAAGCAGGCTGGTATGGTGGGGCGGCAGTCCCACACATCTGGGGCTGCCAGCCTCGGAAATAAGACTTTCCTATTTGGGAAAGCGCTTGGAGAATTTCTGTGAACCTGCTTTGTTTAAGCCATTTCTGTGTACTTTTGATAAAGAGGGGTATGGTTCTTTGGCTGTTTTGTCAGATTTTAAGACTGCAATCCAATACCCATTTATCTGGGAGTAAGCCCCACTGAACACAGTGGGACTGATTTCTGAGTAGGCATATGTAGAACTGTGGAGTTATTATATTGTTTTAATAGATTGTAAGATGCTGGGATTGAACACAGCATCCTATTACAGTTCTGAGTCTGAGCTTTGTTGGAATGTGGTGTGTATATCACAAGAACAGCAACAACCCTGTCCCTGTAAGTACGCCTCTGTCTTTGTAGATATATTTCAGTAATAGCTATTAACTGGGTTGGAATAGATCTTAAATTTATGTGCAAACACATTAAATATGAGTGAGTCATTAGCATCCAAGGGCAGGGGGCTTCTGCTTCATCCCTGTGGAAATATACATGTGTTCCTTGCATACACCTCCCCACAGGAGTTTGAATGTTTATGCTGCGCACATTAATACAGGAAGTGTGAGTCACCATTTCTGTATTCCCACATGCCATTAACATCCACTGTAACTAAATTCTATTTCTCGCTCTCCTCTATCATTGCTATCCCTTTTGTACATGTTGAGCCTTTCTTTTTTGCCCACCAGAGCAAGACCAGTTGTGACAGTGGATGCCCGGCTATTACTCTTCCCAGTGATTATAAATCCAGAGAATAAAACTTGCCATCTTCCTAACTCTGTGGCTTGGGCAGCTTGGTAAGTTGGTGATAGCAAAGACCATTTCCATTTAGTCACCCCACCCCCGCCCAGTATTGTCTGTGTCATGTATTTGCACCTACAGCAAAATACTAGATTGTCGTTGTTGCTGTTCGTTTGTGTTGCTCCTCTTCTGGATAGCCTTTGCTGCAGGTATGCCTTCCTGCCTTATGATCTCAACAGACTCTGTGACCAAGGAACTGCAGTCACAGGCAGTGGGAAATATTGCTGCTTGTGGTTCTGCTGATTCTGTTGTGCCCCACCATGAGTGCAACAGGAATGAGCACTTGCTAAAGAACCCCAGAAAGGAGCAGAAGTACTAATTCTTGGGATACAGCAGATCAGTGGAAGTCTCTTCTGCAAGCCCACTGACTTGTGCCATTCTAGAAATGCACATCTTCAGTCACTTCCAGTTGCTTTGGGACCTGCTAGGGACCACTGCATTGACAGTAGCTTCCACTACCACGTTGGCAGTCTTGACTACTGCCCAATGGCCCAAAGAGAGCTGTGAATCCAGCACAAAGTGTAGAGCAGACTGGGAGTCTTAGATAGTCATTGCCAGCCCCTTCTCTTCTTGGCCATTATTTTCAACTGGATCCTCTCTCCCAGTGATACGAGCATCTTCTGGCAACTGAATGGACACTCCTAAAGCAACTTTCAGCTGCCAACTGGTTCCACAGAAACCTTTGCTCTTGTGGGCCTCAGGGCTAGGAGAATCAGGCCTCATGGCAGCACTTGGTATTGGTCAAAGGAGAAGGCAGGGAAAGGTTGGGATACCACAGGTTCCTCCCATTCTTCAGATAGAGAGGATCTCTGAACTTTTTCTCCAGTGTCTGGATTGACCAGAACCTGATTATTGGGTTTTAATCTATTCCTGCAGAAATAAAACCAATAACAATTGTTAAACATCGGTGAACAATACTGAGCAACCCCATCGATACCGCAGCCTTCCAGTAGTTTACATTTGTCCCATGTACATTTCTGCAATACTTCATGCTGGGCAAGATCTGGGGCTGGCAAGGAGACTGTGCATATGCTCTTCCTTAGCACAAAGTCAGAGGTTTTTCCACATCTGTGTGATGCCTCCCGCAAAGAGTGCCATTGCTAGGAATTGCTTTTCAGTATCTTCCAGGCAGAGTCAAGAGGCAGTAGAAAGGAGTATGGTTCGAATGCTAAAGCGCTTCCAGCTTATAGACTGTGTGAAAAGATAAAGATGACGAACAGCAAATTAGGCTAGAACTCTTATCTGGGAATTACTGGGACCAGTCCAAATGATGGTCCTCACCTGCCAGATAAAATGGTACATCTCACATGACCATCTCAAGACTCAGCTGCTTCATTCTCCTGCCTAAAAGTATACCAGAGTTGCATTTGAATTTCTGCTGTCTTCGTGGAAACTTAACCCTTTCAGAATGGAAGTGCTTTTCACAGTTGATAGACGGCCATGGTTCTGGCTGTTATGTTATAAAATATGCTCCTTGGAGATTTTACCTCTGCTAGTAAAAAACAAAAGTTTAATCCAGTATCTCCAAATGATTGAAGAGCAGCTGTTAGTTTTTCATTCTGTAATTTTTCTCTGTAGTTGTTATAACTCATGTTACATATGCAAACAATTATTAGGGAAACTCCAATGAACAAATGTTTCCTCTGCCCCATGGGATAGATTTCTGTGTCTTTTATCCAGCTGTGCAACTTGTGAAAAATGTCCATTGATTGACATTTCAAAATAAAATGAATGAAAGAACCATCTTGACCAGAAAAGATTCCAAAAGTCTAAAGACTCTGATTATGGAATGCTGTCTAGTATAAAAGAAATATTGTTTTAACCAACTGGGCGATTGCTATTAATATTTTTCCTCTTGTAATAAAAATTCTATATACTTGATTTAAAAATCAGGATATATTAGAAAGTGTTAAAATGTGAAGTTATAAGCAGATTGAATCCAAATTAGGTTAGTCATGGTTTAGTCCTATAAAAATAAATAGGACAAGTTAGGCCTGACTGATTGAAGTCTCACTGATTCAATAAGATTAAACTGTGACTAAATAAACGTGCAATCTTCTACAAGTTTGTGTAGAAAAATGCATGGCTGACAGACATGCTGGGATTTAGGGCCTCTTTTTCTGCCTAAACCTGCATAAGATTGTGTTCCAAGTCTGGACCAAGAGAAAATTTGTACTCAGGTATCCCCCTCTGTTCCAGGAATTGCCAGTGGTGTGGATCTTTCAGTATCCATGTATTGTCAGGGTGCAGTAGTTATACCCTTCGCCACTGAAAACACGTAAGCACAGCACACAAGAGGATTAGGCAAACAGAGCCGCACAGATGTAGGATGGAGTCCCCTCACTTCCTCGCTGTTTCTTATCTACTGCTCTTTTCATCCGTCAATTGTTCTAAATTGTCTTAATGAATTAATTGCTGCACATACAGTTATAAATAGTTCTGGATGCTTAACACAAGCATTTTTTATTGAGTTAAACATTAATATCCGCAGTTGTCACCCCTTCCAGTTCAGGTCTTGGTTTCTTCCTAAAGTATAGCCTTTTCAGTTCAGCTTTTTTCTGAAAAAGGAACAGACAAGGCAAAAGTGTCAAGGGATCATTCTGCTCAAATGGAGTAGTTCAAGTTTACGGTTTATTTGGGTTGAAGATGAGAACTAAGGCAAAGGCTTTGCAGAAAAGATGGGTTCTGAGAGACACTTTGAAAGAAATTCTGCATGCGGCTTCCTGGCAGAAGGGGCAGCATAGGAAAATGGAGCAGAGCGCTTGGGTTGGATGAAGTTGGGAAAGTGGAGAAACAATTGTTATATCGGCAAAGAAATAAAAGTACAAAATGTGGCTGTATTTAGAAGAATCTTTAGCTTTTGTGCTTTGGCTGCCCCTCTCCTTCTCTGATGCACCTATGCAGAGTAGACACGGAAGGCTTTCATTTCACAGTTCAGCATTACACCCAAAGTGTAATTAGCTTTCCCCAATCTAGCGCCCTCCAGATGTTTTGGACTATAGCTGTCATCATTCCTAGCCAATATGAACAATGACCATCCCCAACCCAGTGCCCTCTAGATGTTTTGAATTTAAACCCCCAGCAGGCCCCAGCCCAGCCTCACAAAGTTGTAACCCACATTTTATTCTCTCAAGCTACAAATCTATGAATGGTGTCTGTCTTTAGTATTCTATGCAGGCAATGGATAGCTTCATGAAAGCCAGTGAGGATGGCGAACTTGGTATATGAGTTGTATATGCACTGGTAATGCAGTATTTCTGCTAGTTCTTCATTTCTACAGACATGGATGAATAGCAAAATAGCTTCTTCTGTGAAGTTTCCTGAATGGAAATTTCTAACCCAGAAGCGTAAGGCAGTTCATTATACTCATGCCTTGGCCACTATTTGCCCTGTAAAGTTTTAAGCCCCTAGATCATATGCATATCATGTACGTATTTATTTTTCTCTCCTCATTTCCTGCTCTATACTGCCCCATAACTTTAAGCACTATTCAGTTATTCATCTCTTGACAATTCCAAAGGAAAGGGAGATGGGTCAGAATTTGTGATTTTCTTGGAGAGCCTGAAATAAATCTTCATAAAAGCCTTTGGAATCTACAGGAAAGTTCTGCTTAATGGTACATGGCAAATTGTTTGCCCTGAAGGAAGATGTTGAATAAGGTCATGTACAATATATGAATTCCAGATGTGGCACATCTTCATTAGGACTGTCAGAGGAAGCCAATACACAGTTCTTATAAAATTAGAGGTTATTCCAGAGGTGATGTTGCTGAATTTACAGAGCATGTAGATGTATATTTGAAAAACAGGACTGAAAAGAGGTGTGTAAGAATATTCTTATCCATGAAATTCTCTTCTATATATTCTGTAGTTTTTATACTATAATAACAATAAAAGTGGTGAAAAGATCTGGTTAACTCAAGCTCTTTACATAAACTCTGGTATTTCCAAAAATTTATTATACTGTAATCACATAGGAAGACTTTTCTGGCTTTCAGATATGCAGCTTTTTACTGCTGTGCTAGGGATGTTTAATTTGCATAAAGTGTTCAGTTTTGGGATCCCCCCCCCCCCCCAGTTTTCATCTTGGAGCATGTAGATTGGCCTGTCATCAGGCAGAAGCCAGGAATGATAGATTTCCAGCAACACTGATTAGCAGGAAATTATACTTTTCTAACAGGAGTGACTTTGTTATAATGATTTAACCATCCATCTGTGGCTATTTATAAAAGCCTTTTGAGCATAGTCTGATTAAAAATTGATATTTTCATAAAGTAAGGGAAAGTATTGCAGCTCAAGTGCTTTTCAGATTACATCTTTGAATGCTCTGTCTGCACAGTTACTCGGTTTGTAAGACTGACTTGGCATGTCAAATGAAATGAGTGATATAAAATATTTAACTTATGCTCCTCAGTCTGATTAGACTTGGAAGATAGAGACCTGTTTACATTAGTTAGTGTATGTTGGCTATAGGGAGTGAAGAACAGTGCCGTTTAACTGGAGAAGAAAGCAAATTCATTCATTACAAAAAAGCATAAAGTGATGCACATTGAGGGTGAAAAAAATGATCTGGATAAGTAGTCATCCCCAACGAAGCAGGAGTGAAATTACAATCTAGTCTTCTGCATACCAGGAACCTTTTGCTTAAAAATCTCTGAGGACGTCTCCATCAGTGGCTCCCATTAAAGCTTCATTGGTTTAGTTACCATACTCATTTGGTGAAGGTACCAAGACCAGGTTAGATAATCACCTAACTCCTTTTGCATAGCTAGAATTCTCTTAGTACCTTGTGGTTAAGAAATGGTGGCATGCCATGAATCTGAGCAGGGTATTTTATGGGACAACACTTTGAAAAAGTGAAACCAAAAAGGTGACAAGAATTTGTTTTTTAATCCTAGTGTAGAATTTTAAGAAAAAATATTTTCTGTGTTTTCTCCTCTAGCTTTAATGTATCTGTCTGTGTGGCTTTTGAAAGTCCAGGTATTTCAGATAAAATAGGTAAGTTTTTATATATGTGCATGACTATGCTTAAGAATCAGTGAATCATTTAGGTGTGGCTCCTGATACTGTGTTACAAATCTGTAGGGTTTTTCTTGTGTAAATATCAGTCATGGGGAATCCTGTACCCTCTCCCCAACCCCACTCTACAGAGGCCAACAGTTAACTCCTTCCCTCCCTGCCATGCTCCAGCAAAAATCAACACTCCAAGGGTACTATGTTCATTCAGAAGGCACCCCCATTGTCATGATGACATTTATGCAACATCACATCTAGTTTGGACCTTGGTTGTCAGCCATACAACTGGATTGGAAAAGGTCCCACAGATACCGTTGGGAGGGTGCTGTGCAAGTTGCAGTCTCTGTACTGAATGAAACCAGCTGGACTGGACTGAACAAACTGAAATTCATGTAGTTTGAGAAGGATAGTGGCCTGAGTTTGCATCCTAATTGTCTGTGTTTACTTAGAAGTAAGCACTGACTCCCAACTATTTGTGTGTAAGTCTTTCTCTTGAACTGGCAAGGATTTTTACAGCTAAGTCTTTGAGCAAGAGCCCCTCCCCTTCCTGTTCCCTCCCGCCCATTTCCTCAGTTGCTTTTTGACCACTCCCATGCCTAGATTGGGAAATGCTTCTCTCCTCAGGTTAAGTATTTTTTCAGCATTTATTGCCTTTTTCTCTCCACCACTTTCTACTCCTTGGCTTGTTACTCTGCCCCATCTCTCCAGGAACTTCTTTTTCACTCTTCACTTGTAATTTTTGTTTTAAACTTACCTGCTTTCTCTCTAATCTTTGGCATCTTTCTACCAGCCTTCCCTCCATTTTCTGGTCTCCGCCTTCCCCATCTACCCACTAGGGCAGTGTAAGTCAAGTGCAGGCCCAAGATGTACCAGGGATACTGACAGTGCTGTTGGCTGCAGCCACCTGCCCTGAGACTTCCCTTCATGGTGCGGGTCCAGCAAAACAGGAGGAGGCTGGTGCCAACTGAGGTAGTTTCTCTGGGCTCCATGGGCCCAGACAGTTGGTCCGCCATGCTGGGTGCTGTCACTGGGTTGGATAAAGGATTAGCATGATACGCAGGGGTGAAGTATGTAACGTTCTTTTTTCTGCTGTGTGTAATGGCATAAGAAAGGCTTAGGAAGCTTACTTTTGGGAAAGCATTGCTCGTCAGTTGAACAAATGTTGAACTGCTACCAGAAATATGGACTTGGTAAAAGCAGGAACTTTCTATGAATCAGTGAAGAAACTGAAGCATAAACTGTATTTTTATTATGCTCAATCCGTCTATACTTCATAATGTTATGTTGTCGTTTTAGTTTTGAGAGCTGAGCTGCAGTTAGATTCCTTAAAAGTCAAAGGAGCTGTGAAGCGGACCCTCTTCCTGGATTATCAACAGTCACAGCATGTCTTCCTCATCAGGATAGCCAGGCAGAATTTGCTCACTTGCAAGGATTTTGTGGTTTATCTCAGAGTAAGCAGTTTCCTTTGTTGGATCAAGAACATTATTTCAGGGCAGTTATTTCAGAATATAGCTTGTATCCAGATGATTAAACAAGGTCAGTCAACAATCAACAATAATTGATTTTAAAAACTGATTATATCCACCCCCCCCCTTAGAAAATTAAACATGCATTACTCATTTCGTTAAATGGCTCTACAATTTATCTTGGAACGGTGGTGCATCTTTGAAAACAAAACAAAACACTGTGATGTGTTATTAAGCAACTGCAAAGGTGAGCAATGTGCAATCCATGCACTGCCCCTACTGTGCTCTCCCAAAATTATAAGCAAATAAACTAAATGCTAAATTATAAGCAAATAACCAAATAAAAAATGGAATCCAGTGTGCCTATTTGGAAAGGGGGTGGTGGTGGTGCTCTTTAGATACAGTGGAGATATGGTGTATCAAAAGCCGAAACCAAGCTAATTTTAACATTATTGGCATGCTGTAGCCACTTTGGATGCCATTTAAGAGAGTGTATGTATGGAAAGGGCAGGTGCAGCCCATGAGGGTCAGTCTGGGGACAGAAATGCCCCCCACATTTGCCAAAGTTGTTCTCCTTGGCAGACTCCATACTGTCAAATGCCCTCCTCTGCCAGCTGACATTTTGCAAATATCATTGGTCTACTCTCATACATGAAAAAGAAAATAGGATTTGGTGTCAAATACAGGCATCAAATAAATAGCAAATATTTATTCAGGTGATGTATGGAGAATCTTGGACAATGAAATTCATATTCTGTACACCACTTTTTTCTGAGTTGAAGCCATACTTTCTGGAAGCCCTGCATGTAACCCTTTCATGCTAGAACCTACAGCCTCGAAGGGAATGCTTGGTGCTCTCCATTTTCCTGAAGGACGGGCTTCTCTATGGCAGGTCAATGGTGGACATATAACTCTCTTCTTGAATTACTAATACCCCTTGCTTCAGACTGTGCATGACGCACTGTGCATGACACGCAAAGTGTCATGCTGGCTAGGGAAGTCTGTTCCTGATGACTGAAGAAGTCACTGCAGGCCTCCACCACATGGTCATGTTTATATCCACTAAAATTAATTGTATTTTAAAAATTAAAAAAATCCCCAAGGTGCAAACCTCTAGGGCTCCCTTAGCATAGATGCCAAGCTTCAGATTTGAGGTTTCACAACTTTGTCATGATGGTGCTGCCAGACAGAAAGATTTTTATTTTCATGGATGGACAATTTTGATCCATGTTGATACCTCAGATAGGTAGGCCCTCAAATAGGTAGGCATTCTGTCTTGTTAAAGTAAGGTAAGGATGTACTGTTTGGCTGTATAAGATGATGCATGGAATTCTTTCCAGAAATTTGTATGCGTGTGCTGCTACTTCTTCTAAGTTGTACAGAGCATCTGGAAATTTGTCTCTTAGATTGGGGGAGAGCGTTACTCAATTCCCATTTGGAGAGCATGGCCATACATTATTCAATTCCCATTTGGAGAGCATGGCCATTAGTCAGTGATTGTGGGAAGTGTAATCCAAGAACATCTGGAGGATCCAAGGCTTTCTTCCCATGCTTAGAAATATGACTTCAGGGCAGTCTACTGCTTTGAGATGAGACTGGAGTCTGTGCAAGCTGTGTCTCAAGTTTAGCTGTGTGGAGAACGTGCAATGTAGAAATGTCAGCAGAGGTAAGTAACTTGTTCTCAGTCCTTTTCTGGGGAGCTAGGCTGCAATCTGGCAGGGTACATTTCATTCAATGCAGTAGTCCTTCTGAGTGGACAGTTATGGTTAGTAAAGTTTGTTGCTTTATTACTGAAAGAACTACCAACATTAATTGTTGTAAATAAATGAAGGGCAATGCATGTTTTCCTGAAGGGCTTTCCTGCAATTTCCTTCCTGCAGGATGAAACTGAATTTCGAGATAAATTGTCACCCATCAACATCAGCTTGAATTACAGCTTGGATGAATCTGCATTTTCAGATGGTTTAGCTGTGAACCCGATACTGAATTACTACCAAGAAAATGTTCTTGCGGAACAGGTATGGGTCTTTCAGAGAAATGCTATCATGCTGTGTGGTATTTCATATAAGATGCTTTGTTCAGTGGTTCCAGCATTCCCTCAGTATCTTTAACTAGAATTTAATTTGTTCATGATGGTGAGTTAATTGAACCAGACCTATCTGAGATTTCGTGGAACTCTTCCAGCCTGCATTTTCTAAATGCTCTTATTCTCCTAGACCTAGCTAACTGTAACAGCATGTAAACTGTCTTCCTTGCAGGAATAATGCACAGCCCCTTTAACAGGCAGAATGCAACCTGACTTCCTATATAAACAGCTGCCACTAGCTCTTTGCATTAGGTTTGGGGGTTTGGGAGGATCAGATCCTCTTGGGGAAATATTTTAAATGGCCATCAAACAAGAAAATCAGAAAGAAAGGAAAGGAAATGGGTGAAATTCCTGTAAACAGAGCCCTAACATCATGAAAGTGATGCATGTTTTGGACAATGCAGGCTTACATACTTGTGGATTGTGGAGAAGACAACGTGTGCATTCCTGACTTGAAGCTTTCTGCTGTGCCGTAAGTTTGAACAAATAAACTTGTGTACTGCACTTAATGGAATAAAGGTGTTCATTAAAAAGCTGCTGGGGGGGACTTGCCCACCTCCCCCATCAGGGCTATCCTGGTGATAGGAAGGAGATCTTTACCACCACATGCTGAGACCAGCTTTTAAGTCTCTGGTTCGTTTTTTTACGGTCCTCAAATGTGCAGCTTCAAAGGTTTGTCACCTTTCAAAACAAAATCCGCTCTGTATATCCCTACTTGTTCAAACTGGGCTTACTTTAAGAACAGAAAAAAATAAATAATATTTTGGATACTCTTTCTATGCTTGAACAAAAACACATGGAATTGGCTCCCCTCAAAGTTGCAGCCTTCTCTTTTGGCCTCTGCATCAAAAGGAGAATATTTGAGAGAGACATTTTTGAGTTGTGGATGGGCATTATTTGGAGTAGTTCTGGCTTCATACCATGTCCAAAGTTACTCTTGTACACTGATGGAAAGACACAGGGGATGTTCTGGAAAGGTTCATGAAGACTGGTTGGGCTTTATTGGGCACCCTTTCCTCAGTAATAGCTGAATTAAAATTGTTCCCTGATTTGTTGTTTTTTTTTTTCTTTCCTTTATCAGAGAAATAATTTGCTTGTATTTATTTCATGTTGCCTTGCCCATCTGCCAAGGGAACCAAGACTGCATTCACAGTTCCTCCTCCTCCTTTCCTATTTAGTCCCTGCCTGAACCCTGTGAAGTAGGTCAGGCTGACAAAAATGGGCTGGCTGCAGATTCCCCCGTGATTCTCATGACTGAGAGAGGATTTGCATCTGGGTATCGCACTTCCTAGTCTGTCATTCCAGGTGCAACCACTCACTGACTTCAGCAGACATTTGTAAACACAAATAGCATTGGACTTTGGTGCTCTCTTTTGCCATACCCAGGGTTGCTAAACTGCTTTCAACCTGAAGGCCAAATTCACTTTCAGAGAAGCTCTTGGGAGCTGCATGTTTATAGTGGGTATGAAAGGTGAAATGAGTGGAGCCCATAGTAAAAGGGGAACGCATGTTTTAGCATAAGGCACTTACTTCCAGTAACTAAAGTTTAAGGAAGCTGTCAAACTGTTAAGGAAGAGGGTGGGTTAAAGAAAAGGAGATCCCTGGAGGGCCAATTCAGGATGCCAGGTGTGCTAGATTTGGCCTGCAAGCCTAGAGTCCAGCACCCCTGCTGTAGACCCTGGTAACAGGGAAACTGAATTAGTGAGATTCTGGCTGGCTTACAAGGCAAGGCAAAGAACATAGTGTGTAGATTTTTGCCCAAGGTTAAAGGTCAGGCAATCACATTGCTTCCTGCTCCATCCTCCCAGCCTTGGTACACATCCCAACAGTCCCATGAACAAAATCCCCATTTTTTCCGTATTCATGCCAGTGGACTGCAGCAGCCTTGTCCTGATTGGTCTGCTGTGGTCCTGAGGTGAGTTCCCTTTCCCCCTCCTGAGTGTACCTGCATGGCTGTGGTGTCTCACAGCAACTCCAGCCCCCATAGAGATTTTTATTGAATGAAAGTAAGCCATTTTCCATGATGCCCACTTTCTTCCTCTGTGTATTTGCATGTTTTCTCCTTGTTTCCAAAAGTAAACACATGATGCATGTGTTACAAATGAGGACAGCAGAAATCAAAGGCTAGAAGTGGACACTTCCATGGCCTTTCTCGCCAAGAGATTTTATAATGTTTCTGTACCAATAATGGTAAAATGCTGTTGCTGAATCTGGATGACCAGAGAAGCCACAGTGAAGTGTAAAACCATAAAACAGAGTGTTCATCATTCATGGTTCTGGAAAACTATTCCTACCATGCAAGAATTCCGAAATTCAGTAATGATAAGATTTCACTATGGCTTCCCATGTCATGTAAACCTGGCCTCTATCTCCATTCATACCTAAGAAACATTGCTTCTTTCACCGGCCTGCCATACAACCCTGAGAGAATCACATATACTACGTGAATTCAGAAGTACTCCACATTCTGCTAAAAATGTTGTTGAAAACAAACCATTTTAACATAATTTTAAGTCTGCATTAATTCACCATTCTCGGGAGATTTGCTCCTAGTGAACTTGACTTGTAATAAGTCTGCATGAGGCAACAGGCTTAAGGGTAAAATGTGGTTCAAGTCATCATCTTGATAGGTCGAAACACATTGAAAAAGTGAACTGCATTTTCTGTGTTGGGTCTTTTCGGGAAAAGTGACAGAATCACAGAATTTTTGGCCAAATCACCTATTCTGCCCCTCCAGAGCTTGTTCCAGGGCCTATTATAAGCACAGAGCATGAGGGTTTCATAACCCTAACCCTAGACTGAATCTCCTCCCCATTGAATTCCTATATAAAGAATACCCTGGTGTTGAGGCTTTTCAGGAAGTGGCTGAATCCCAATTTTTTTTGGCTGGCTCACCGTTTCTGCCCCTGCGGAGTTTGTTTGAGGCCCTTTGACAAGCGGAGGGTGTGACAGTTTCATAACCCTAACCCTAGCCTGAGTCTTCTTCCCATTGCATTCCTATATAAATATTAGCAAGGTGTTGGGACTTTTTGGGAAATGTGCCGTAATCCGAATTTTTTTAGCCAACTCACCTTTTCTGGTCTTCCAGTAATTGTTCTAGCAGCTGGATAAATCCCTGAGTCCTCATGCGTTGTTTTTTGAAATGTGCGGTTCAGCCTCGGAGATGTTCAGGATGAGGCCTTACTTCTGCAGAGGCAAGGCATTCTTACTCACAATTCGCTCTGAGGTAAACACAGTGACGTCGTATGAAAAATTTGGTGTCACCTCATTCATTTTTTGTTTTTAGGGATCGGGATCAAATTGTAATTGGTGAAGAAAACTATGTCATGCTTGTGATCAATTCAAGAAATGAAGGTGAAGGCGCTTATGAAGCTGAGCTGCATATAAAGATTCCTCCTGAGGCAGATTACACTGGTGTTGAGCGCAACAACAAGGTACTGTTAAGGTATAAGATGGGAGCCTCAAGACTTAATTTCCGAAGATTGGTTTACTTTTAGGGTTAGGGTTAGGGTGTTTCCACCATGTTTTGTTTATATATGTTTAGCATTGTTGAATTTTCAACCAAAACTTTTTTTGTATTGTCATTTCTGATTTACATGTTTAGAAGCAGTCCAGTGTGGCTCCCTGAAGCCCTCCATACTTGTGTATTAATGACATCCTGTGCAGGATGGAAGGGTACTTCTGTGCTGTTCCCACCCTGCAAAGCAGCTGGATGTCTGATTTCAGATGTCTAATGGCATTGTCCTGGATCAGGAGGGAAGGGGGCTGAGGCATTGCCAGGGTACCTCATATTTGGCATTTCCAGTGTCACTGTATGACTATGGAACCAGTCCCTTTGGGAGGATGTGGTCTCTCCCGCACTAGAAGCATTCAAAATGCTACTTGACAGCATCTGAGAAGAACAGAGTTCTTGGAGTTCTGCACTGAACAAGGGGTTGGCTCTTCCAAATCTGTTTTTCAATGATTCTATGATCTTCTCCTCCTTGCACCCTAAATCCTTTTCTGAGGTTGCTTTCGCATCCTGGAAGAAACATCCAGTATGGTTCTGTCTGTGCCACAGCAAGGGATGGAAGAGCATTCCAAATGCAGGGTGGCAACTCTTTCCAACTTCAGAGCTGCTTTCTGACATCAAAGCTGAGACTCCAAAAAGTTCTGTGGTCATCTAGACATTGCATAAGGGCCTACCAAAGATAACTGGAATAATTTTGCTTCAGTGCTGCTTGGTATGAAATTGTGCTTTATTAAATTGTTTCATTTTTCTTATTATCCCATTCTTTCTTTATGTGCTCTAGTGTACCCATGAGAAAGAATTTTCCAAAATATATTGGGCCAACAAATAGACTTTTTTTAGTATCTCAGTTTTTTTTCTTCCTGCTTGTGGTGGTATCCCATTTTTGTACTGGATAAGTGACCTTGAATTAACAGACGTTTCACGTTTCACCTTTCTCTGATGACTTAATTTATGAAGTGTGGGGGTATCACAATGGTTTAAAGTCATTGCTGAGCAGGCCATTTGAAGCTGAAACTGGACAGGAACCCAGCACAGCTTACTCAAACTGTTTTGGAAGTACAAGGACAGAATGATTTTCTAACTATCAAGGTGACATTATGTCCCCTAAATACACAGATAACTCATGTGTTTGCTACTGGGCAAGAAGAATATAGAAACCCATCTAACTACAGAGTTTGCAAGTTGATACAGCATAAACTTTATTTTGGATGGTTGAAAGCATGACATCCTCATCTCAACCTGCATCCCACCCAATACCCCCACCCTCCCCACACAAAAGGGAACCAAGGTGTGCCAAGTTAATTTCCTTTCTAGAAGCAAATATTTTTGTTACGTTGAAAATAACTTCCTGTTCCTCTTTGTGAGTCTGTTTTGCCAATATAAAACTAATTGAAGAAGTAGGTGGAGAAAGGCCTTCCTATCCCTGACCCCCACATAACAACCAACAAGAAAGAAACTGTTGCTATTCTTGGAAGCTATATTTTTTAATCAAACAAAGCTTCATCTTGTGTTTGTAGTCTCTTCTTTAAAAATATACTGACCCCTTGCTACCAGATGCATGTTGGTGTTCTGTCTTCTCACTCATCTAATTCCCAAGATTATAGCATGAAGTTGTTGTTATTAAGACAGTATGAGATGTCAGAGTAGGTATTTTAGAAGTATGGGTACATTCCCTCTTTCTATGGGTGCTGCCAGAGATAAAGGAGCCATTGGTAAGTTTTGATCCGTATTTTCATAGGAGGCTTTGGTAAGCTTTTAATCATGTTTTCATAGCTGACTTTGAGGAGAGAAAGAATAACTTGGTCTGAGTTGCTTGATTCTGAGGCAAGATTGCCGCTTCCTGGGATCATTAGATGTAGCGAGAGAGCTGTGTGCTTCCCAGTTGTGTAGCGGTAAGCTTTAAAGTTCAGGCATTCATCACAATAGTCCCCATAAGCAGAACAGCCCCCAAGAAGAGCCCACAGGTGAAGGCAACTGTGTTGACCAATATCAACAGTTCAAGCAGTTTGTACCTACTAGGAGTATGCATTTTGTAAAGCAAATCAGTCTGAATTGCTAATGTAAGGCTGGACCATCCCAGAATACTTTACAGTACAAAAAGGAGTGACATATTGTCCTTGGGAAAATTCCTTTCCCATCTCCCAAAACTTGCCAGGGGTACAATAACTATTTTAGGTCACCAACCATTTTCCCAGTCTTTAACTTGTTTAAATGTTGTCATATAATGATGTATTGTGTTTTGGAAGGTGTTTTGGGATTTTAAAAAATGGAAAGCACTGTATTAATATTCCAAAATAAGTAAGAAATAAAAACACTACATTAAAAATACCTTGTGACAATACTAATTAACAATGGCATTAATCATAGCAGGAACAAAAGCCATCCTGGCCTTGTATCTAAAAAACAAAAGGGATGTAGAAAAGTGAACTTTCCTAGGCAGTAGAGTCTACAGCTTCAGTACTACTGCAAAGAAGTGGTAAACCTATGTTGTCAGACAGTGGGATTTAACAAAGCAGGATGCATGCTTAGAAGAAGTTGTTGTTTGTGGTGCTTTGCACATTTGGTAATGGATGTTTCTCTGCTAGCTATAAAAGAATCGGCTTAATTAGGTCCCTTATCCATTGGAGCAGAATAGGGGAAATACTAGTTACTGGATCCTAAATCGGCTTACTCCAGAAGCAAGTTCCCTTGATTCTGGTGGCATGTAGTTCCATGCAACTTTCTATGCAAGGGCTGGGTGTTAGAATGTCAAGAGCTAATTATCAGTTCATTAATATCCAAACTTTTAGGGAAGTACAGTGCAGCTGGTGATTAATCATGGACGTAAAGGCCATTCTGCCAGTTTTAAAGCCTGCAGCTTTATGAAACCAAGCATTCCATGAGTTTGTCTGTTTTCACATACATTCCAGTTGTTGCCACTTGAAATGCAGTCCAGGTTGTTCTGAAGCTAATTAGTGAGGTTTCGCTACTGTTTAAAAGTATGAAATAAGGCATGTGTTGCTATAAAAGAAAAAAGAAAGTGGTCGTTCACTAATAAAAGGCTAGTGTAGCTAAATATACAAAGGTGTTAATGGATTTGCTTATGTGATTACTGGGGCTGCCAACAGAACATGTGCCAGTTTGTCATCTTTGCAGAGACCCAGCTTTGCATTTCTCTATGGTCTTATCATTTAAATGAAGTGAGTCTAAAACCAGTTTCTTAATGGGAGCTGATCTCTGAAGTAGTTTTTAGAAACTCTGAGATTGTTTTCAGTTTATTAGAGGTTCCTTGGTGAGTCGTTGACCCACAAGCATCCCTTGCGCAAACATCAGGCATTTCTCATAGTGTCCAGAAAGTGTTCTTTGTGATAGTGTTAGATCATACATGGCAACAGTGAAGCCCAACGGAACTGGCGAGAACCCAATAAGAAACAGGCCTATGGCCAAATTGTAGTCTGCCCTGCTAGGACCTCCTGCTAAGGTTTGATTGCGGGGGGCGGGGGGCAGCAATTGGAAAGGCCCCCAAGTCACAGAAAGCTTGAAAGACATGGCATTAGGTTACTGCTACCCTGACTGAAGCCTGCTTTACATAGCACAATGGCAACATTTGAAGCATCTCCATTGACTCCTGTCTTCACTGCAAAGTTTGTGGTGTTATTCATTGAATGAAGAGGTTGCAGACTCACTTAAGGGAAGGGAAGGGACTGGCAGCAAACATGCTTTGCATGTGAATGATCCCAGAGTCATACCTTGGCATCTCCGAGTAAAAGAATCTGGTAGAAGGTGATGGCCCATAACCCTCAAGAATTAGTCACATTCAGGCACTAATGTTACAAGGAACTGGTGTAATATGCCCTTGACTAAGGCAGGTTCACTTCCCTTTTTCTTTGATATGAAGTGACACTGAAAAACCCTGATTTATACATACCAGAAATCTAAGACTGGATTGAAATCTTTTGAATATTTAGCTTGCCAACTCATTTAAAGATAGGCACACCCACATTCTACTACAATAGTATGTAAGATTACCATGAGAGTTTAGCAGTTTTCAGCCAAATTGCAATTTTCAGAAGCCCTTTTGTGTATTTATGCTCATTCATATTATTCAATTTTTCTGACTTAGGATGCCAAAGAAGAAAAGCAAATAAGCACATTTTCATTTTTCTTAAACCCTTGTTATTTTACTTGTCTTCCCTTGCAGCTTCCTGTTCTTTCTCCTTCTGTTTTGTTCTATTTCTACAGATGACCCAGCTAAAGCAAGCAGGCCAGAGATAATATTCAGAAATTCAGCACTGTTGTTAGTGCAAAAGAAATAGGAACATTATCTAAGCGCCAAAATTGGCCTGTGATACATAGTGGATAGCACTGAGGCTTGAAAGTTGGGACACAGAGCTGGCATGCCTGTAACTTCTCAACCCTTGGTTGGATGCTTTGCACTAATAATTTACTTCAGATTTACAACTGGCTTGTCCCTCATTATTGTAGGTAACCAACAGTAGTTAAGTTACTTTTGGAACATCCATCAAAGGAACATTCCTCATGGTTTGCCTGGCATGCTTAAGGAAAACAAGTGTACAGTTCTGAAGTTGAGCATTATAGTTTCTCTTCTTTTGAGCAAAAATAAGTAGACCCTTTCAGAAGGTGAAGAAAGAAACAACCATTTTAAAGTTGTTTGATGGTGTCTCCAGTGCTTTGTGCTCTACTCCCGTTTCCTATTTATATGGTTGTATTTATATTGTATTTTAATTTTACTATGCTTTATGGTTTGTGTGTTATAGTTATGTATTTTTTCTGTTTTTTATATATATATATAAAAACATATATAGCACTGTGAGCCGCCAAGAGACCCTTTGGCTCTGAGGCAGCATACAAATGTGATGAATAAATGTAAATAAATGAATATTGTTCCATATGGGCTTATTTGCACATCTGTCTGCAGCTTTTTGAATGAAAAGGGAACAAGGCTGGAGAGACTGCAGAATAACTCATATCATGGCCTCTCTGATCTTCTCTATCTTCTGCCTAGCAAAGCACCCCCTTTCCCTCTCTCTAAGGTTGCTTTTCCAATCTTGGAAAGCAACCAGCATGGTTCTTTCTGCACCAGCTGTTCAGGAGGTGAAGGGCTTCAGTTCCCAGCTCTGAGGTCAAAGCACTGTCTTCAGTCTCAGATCTGGAAATCTGAAATATCATGCAGCTCCTCAGATATTGTCTAGGGGACATAGAGTTGCTCCTTCCAATACAATAAAAAGCACAACAATAACAGGTTAGTTTCCATCTTATTCTATCATAGCTGCTTATATGTCAAAGGTCTTCTTGAATGAAGCACTGCAGAAGGGGAGCAAACCCAGCTTCCTTTCCAAATTCTGCATGTTTTCTAAAAGCCTCAACTCCAATAGGATAAAGTGTACTGAAACGTCATGCACTGGCCATTTCTTTAGAGGAATGCATGTACCTGTGCTCTTTTAAAAATAAAAAGGCCAGCAGTTTGGGGTGGGAAGAAGCCCATAGCCAGTGTTGGATATGGGGCAGGGTAAAAATCTAATTAATAAATAAATAAGACATGCAGGGCCAGCAGGGAGAGTTTGGCTGGTCTCATCTAACATTTGTCTTCCTGACAGTGATGGGTGAAGTCTCCTTGGCTTGCCTCAAAATCAGAAGGTTTTTTTCCAATCTTTTCTGGAGAATCCTGAAAAAAAGGCTTGAGGCCATGATATGAAAAGAGTGAAATGATTCCCTGACAAGTCCTCTAGTCTTCCTTAGCAAATTCTCACTCTTACCTTTTATGAGAAGAAGGGCTCGTCACATCCTCTAAGGAACATGGGACTTGTCATTTTCTCTGTCTCCCAGTAAAGTTTAGGAGGCAGAGGAAACTATAAATGCTAAGTGATTTCCAACTTTGCTGGAAATGATTTCTGTCTAACGAGTCCCCTGCACTGCCAGTTGCACCCTCTCTGTTCTCAGTATTTAGAGATTTTGCTTAGAAAGGGAAGACATTACCTGGTTAAGTGGCTAACTGATGATGAAGTTAATCATCTCCATGCTCACTGAGAATGATGGGAGTTGTACCCCAACTCATTTGGAGGGTGCCAAATTGGGCAAGGCCATAGTAGATATTTTTCTTTGCAGTTCCTGGTTAGAAGTGGTTATACAAGGAGCAATATATGTAAATAGCATTTATTTCTAACTGTAGGGCTGTTTCAAAACTAGGCAGATCTTCCTATTTATTCCCTTCCAGGTGCCAAGACTTCCTTAGTCATGAATGAATGATTAGACCTCTGTGCAGATGTTCAAAATCAACAGCAATCTTGCCATCTAAAAGCCGTTTATTTTGCCAACAGGATATATTCTGGATTGACCTTTGACTTCCATGTTGGTGTTCTTGGGTTACAGGCGCTACGCGTGCTGAGCTGTGATTACAAGATGGAAAATGAAACTAGAATGGTGATTTGTGACCTTGGGAACCCCATGGCAGCTGGAACAAATGTAAGACAAAACCAGAAACATTTGCTGATTTTATCAAATTGAATTGTTTGGGGAGTTAATGGAAAATGACCTCAATTAAGGGAATTTGTGTCAATAAATGGCAACTAAAAATTATTTGGGTAGGAAATTGTTGCTATAATAGAAGACAGTGCCACACTGTATTTAAAAAGAGTAATAATACTCTAATTGGTGAGCTTATGGATAACTTGGGCCACAATCCAACTGATCAGCTCAAATTAGTTGAACTTGAGAGCTTAAGTGTCCACTTGTCATATTCATTTTATTGTGATTTAGACTGCAATCCAATACACATTTACCTAGGAATAAGATCCTTTGAAATTTGTATGTCTTGCTTCTGAATAGGTATTTATAGAAAGCATTGTCAGATTCCTTTCTTAGAATTTACCTATGAGTAAGCCCTACAGAATTCAATGGGATTTCTTTCTGAGTAAATATGGATAAGATATTGTTATTAAGATAACAATAGTAACAATAAGTAGAATATAAGTATACTCTACTTATATTAATTGTCCTACATTTTTCTTATCACGCCCTAAAATATATTACTTATGGTTATTAGCATGGTTATCTTGACACCAGTGTAATTTGAATAATAATTAACTTTATTCATTCTTCCATTCATCTTGTGAGTCCCTGTACAGCCAAAGTTTTCAGTGCAATACAATATAATAGAAATACAATGCAATATTTAATAACTACTACAATATAAATAATAAAAACCTGAAAAATATCTGAAAAATATCCATGGAGATAAAAAGAGCTGTTAGATACAAATTCACAAAACATCAGGGCAGTACAGTATTTAGCAAGTTAAAAGGTCGGAGAGAATAAAAGGGTCTTTGCTCCCTGTTGAAAAGCAGCCTCTTTGCTTAGTGTTGAAAAGCAGCTTCAGGGCAAATCTCTTGGGGGCAAGGATGATTCCACAGTTGGTGTGAGTACAACTGGAAAACCTACTTACAAAGAGCCATCTACCAAATCTCAGTATGCAGAGTCTCTGGTGATTTCAGAGCATGGGCAGAAAGTAAAGGAAGAAGTGGTCTTTCAGGTACTGTTTGCCTAAGTCAGGAAGCGCTTTATAGGTTAAGCCAGCACTTTGGCTTGAGCCTAGTAATGAAGCAGGCACCAGTGAAGATCTGGACCATTCCAAGACATTTTGTTGCCTGAGATAAAGGAAAAATGGGACCCACTCCAGGTACTGAAGCTGCATTTATCCCTGACTTCCACATGTATTTACTAGCACTGCTCCACTGCAGTCTGCTGTGATGGATATAGGACATGTACTTGTACCTACACACTCTTTATGCCAGTAAAGGTTCCTACTACAACCTACACACACATTAAGTTTCCATAAATATTGTGTGTGCAGGACTTGCTGATGTTGCTTTGCCATACTTTCTTAGGATAAGCCTTAAGGTCTGTATATACAATCATCATATGAAATCACACAGGAGTTATAAATGATGCTAGCAGAATGCATCACAATTCATTCCACTTTAAAAAATAATCAGTGTGCTAACTTAGAATTATGCCACTTAGGTAAAGATCTGGGTCTCTTTTCTAAACTCTTGACTTGCCTACACAGGTACAGTTCTGTTGACCTCTGTGAAGTTTTATGGTTTGTATATATGAAGCTAATTTTCCCATTATTACTAACAGTGCCAAGACTAGAAGCCACCATTAAGACCCATCATCCCACAGAGACACCATCTGCTGCTCATTTATGTTTTGCAAAAAGAATGTGGTTTTAGGTGTTAAGAAAGCATTCAGCTGAGGCCAAGGTAGGGAGGAAATTCCTAGATCTTTGCACCAGTGGTATATGTGCTCCAGTGAAACTTGGAAAACGTGTAAACTAGTTGCAAGAGGTACATGCAACTCTATGCATCTGTACAACTTACATTTCAAAATGGCCACTGAAGGACAGCCAATGTAGCCTCACTGAAAGGCCAGTTGAGGACAACCAAGGCCTACAACCTTAAGCTATTCACACAGTTTATTCAAATACTCACCCTTCTAATGACCAAATTCTGATTCCTAGTTTTCTTCAGGTATCCGATTTAATGTGCAGCATTTTGAAAATGCTGAATTAAGCATCCAGTTTGAACTGCAAGTGAGAAGGTAAGGGTTTGTATTTACAAAGAGCGTGGTAACCTGGTTCTCTATACACATGTCTGATTAGCTGAGTTATTTTGACACAGTTCATATGTCTGCTTGCTGTCCTACTTAACAATTTCTTGCCTGAACATTCCAAAATCAGATCCCTAAATCTAGGAAACAAAGATGATACACAAAAAAATGTGCTGATGCACATTCACATTTATTGCGATAATGCACCTTTCCTTTATTGTCTGAAGTATAAACAAGTGTATATTTGAGCCCTGACTGTAACTACAGAGTTTACTAACTCCTGTTCTCTTTCCTAAACAGAAGGTGGTCCAATAAACAATTCACTATAGCAATTATCATTGTTGACAGAAATGAGAGAAAATTGGTCTTTCCTACCTTGAAAGGATTGGAAAGCCTTCAAAAGGCATTTGCTTTTCTTGAGAAATCCTTCATTGTATTCTTCCCAGTAATATTAGGGAATTTTCAAAGCAAAGAAGTCGACAACTTATTTACTAGGCTTATATAAATGTCCTTGAATTTAGTGCAGCTGCTGTACAGACAGAGATTGCTGGATAAGAACAGACATACACAGTGGGGTTAAAAATGAAGCTTCCTAGAGACTAGTTGTCATTATTTTGGGTCTGTGTCAACTGTCAACTGATTTGTCTTTGGACGGCCTGGGTCTGGTTGCATTACTGGAACAAGTAATGAGATTATTATCTCTGTCATATATTTTCATGTTGATACACTGATATATCATAAGGCTGTATAAGTACTTGCACTATAAACAAACCATATTACTTCTTTACAGCCGACTTCCCCAGCCTGCTGTTCCCCAGATATTTTGTATTTCGGCTCCTCTTGCCCCAGCCAGCACCAAGAATGCTGGTGTCGGATTCCAAAACATTTAGAGGGAGCCAGGTTGGAGAAATCTGTTGTACAGCAAAGCTGTTTTGTATTCGGTTACATGTACACCTTTATTTTGCTCACATTTTTACAACATGAAATTAGCCAGTGTTACTAGGCTATGGATCTGCAATGTATCACTAGACAAAATCATTCAAGAAGAAACTACCCTATTGAGATAATTTAGAAAGATTGGTGCCCATGTAGTTGGTGACTCTTTCAGAAGCGTTCCTAGCTAGTTAGATGAGGTAGGGATGCTCTGCAGGAATTTCTTGTATTGTCATCAAAGGACAATACAAGTACAGCTACTGTTTCTACCTTTTCATTGCAGAGGAATAGCCTCCATTTCTCCTCTCTAAGCAAGAGAAATTAGCCAAACATATATGGAAGGATAATTTTAGAACATACGGATACTTGGGTCAGCTGTTATTAAGATGTTGTAAGAACATGCTGAGCATGGGATGAGAAGCAATCATGGAGACCTTGTCCATTATCTCAATGGCTTACAAAAGAAAGGTGCAACTTTTACTGCTCTTTGGCATCTCTGAGAAAGAAAGAAAGAAAGAAAGAAAGAAAGAAAGAAAGAAAGAAAGACAGACAGACAGACAGACAGACAGACAGGAATTAATTGAATTGTATAGCCTTGATCAATGTAGACATATGTTTGAATGCTTTCAGATTTATGTATTTAAAACATAATTAACCTTTGTCCAAATTTATTTTAGTTCCAACAAGGTTAATCCCAACAGTAATTTGGTTGACCTTCGTATTGACATAAGTGTATTGGCTCAGGTAAAGATCAGAGGGTAAGTACTTTAATATTCAACCTGGACATAACTCTAATCATAAATGAATGTTGAATTTAGTTTCCTGGGATGGTATAGTATTAAGGCTTTGGTACTGTGGTTTAATCCAAGAAAGACTAAACCACAGTACTCTCCATGTGGGCCTTTTTCAGGGACTAAACTGAAGAAATAAGAAAGGAACAAATGCACATAAATATGCATTTAGGAATATATTTAAAACTTTTTCAAAAATATAGTAATGATAATTATCCCACAGAAAAATTGTCTGTGAGCACTTGCTTAGCATGGGTGTCTGTGTGCCTAAAAAATTAAAATGAAAAGCTAAGTAAGTAATCATGGGCAAATTTTCAGTGTGATGATTGATATTATTCCTGTGTTTTTTAAATTAATGTTTTAAAATGTATTCTCAAATCATTTTATCCCTTTCTTCTTTCCTTAGGCTGCCCCTGAGGAAAGCCCATATGAGACTAAAAACACATTTGGGTTTTGTTTTGTTTTTTCTTCAGCAGTCCAAGGCCTCATTGCTTGATTTCATTGGATCATTTTGGATATTCTCCAATTTTGTTTTATCCCAAAATAGGATGGGCCTCAAAATCTTTCTTGTCCAACAGTTCCATTGGCTTCTCTTTCCACCAGAACGCTTCTCACAAAAGCTTTGATGCATGTACCTGACTGTACAGAGGACAATTGACTATTTGATGGTTCAGTGGATTGTTCAACCTTAGCCTAGTTTAAAGATTTACAAAACTGTAAAAATAGAGAGCAGGGACCTTGCCCATCAACAGTTAGCAGCAGACTGAGCAGGTACAGAAGGCCACTTGGTTGCAAACTTCCAACTACAGTTGCGAAAGTAACTATTTCTAAATGGACAGCCATACATAGAAATTAGCATTTACAAATTGTATGTAAATATTGGTCATCACCAGCCTATGAGGTTCTGATTCTACTGCATCATATACATGAGCAAATTTTACCCGTTTGCCCATTAATTTGCTGCCTTACTGAAAAGGGAAGCTGGATGTGGAATGATATTTATTTGGTGATGTCAACACCTTCTCTTCAAAGCAAAGGTCTTCTTTCAAGAGAGCCTAGTCACTGTGATCATTGGAGGATATTCTCCTGGTGGCCCCACATGGGCCTATGATCCAATTAGAGTCCCCAGGAGAAGAGGCTGTATTCTGGTGGCCTCTTTTTTAAGGAATTTCCTGCCTCAAGATATCAGGCAGGCACTATCATTGTACTAATGTTGGTCCCCCTGAAGATGTATTTGTTCCAGGAAGTCTCTTTTGTACAGTGTTACTCTGTTTTCAAGATACCATTTCTATACGTCTGTTTCATCTTTTTTACCACCTTGAATTCAGCCTAGATGTGGAGCAATATGTTAGATATGTAAATAAATAAATTAGTCAAAATGTTTGCTTTTGGCCCTCCTGCTCTTTATAGGTGAACCTAAGTGGAACTAGTGTAATTTAATAGTTTGCTTGTGCCTATGAGACCATAAAATAATGTTTGCTGTAACTTGAGAGGTGCCCCTTGAAGCTGAACAAACAGGCATTTGTGTGTCTCTTGGAAGACTCCTCTGACTGGGCTCATGAACAGTTACCTCTCCTATAAAGCATGCAGGGCCATGCCATGAGAGAGAAATGCTAGGAATAGGGTTGCATCCTCAAGTTTCTGCCTTACCTAGAGCCAGTCAAGCTGCTGTGTCTTTGGGGAGGGAGAGTATAAGGACATATTAGGCAATCTTCTAGCAACAAGGCCTTAATCACTAGTTTTTTCTCTTTTGCTTTATGCAACGGTAGCAAGAGCTACAGGACGGCTGCAATGGGAACCCCATAGAGGAGAAGTGGGATTGCAGGGGATGTGGTAGGAAAGAATCCAGGTGGCATCTATAGCAAGGAGTGCCAAAGCTTAGAGCTGCTTCAGATAGCAGTCATGTTTGTTGCCATTACATGGGTCTGTTCTATAACATCTTGGACTTACTCAGCTGCCTGCCTGATCCCTCACCCGTAAAACTCCCTCAGAACAATAAATCAGGTTGATGAGATTCCCAGAGCAGCTGCCCACCTGATCTCTCCCTCTTTTGGGTCCCCCCTAAGAGACCCACTGGCCACTTTCCTGCTGAGAGTGGCACTGGGGAAGGCAGTGGCACTCAGTATGCCACCTTTCCCATTCCTTCTGAGGCAGGAGATTCACTCTGTCCAAAGGGAGAATGAGCTCTTCCCCTCCATATAACACTAAACCATCTCTCCGTCCTAGTTGAGACTGTAGAAGCACTAGTGTTCATCTAAGAGTTCTCCAGCACCTGCACAGTTTCCAGTTGTTAGCCATTTAATCTGATTTAATCTCATTGGTTTAGCATGGCATAATTGACCGTTGTTCTCATAATATTGCATTTGTGAACCCTTTTAGTGTCTCTCATCCCGCACAAATTGTCCTGCCAATTCATAATTGGAAGCCAAAGGATGAACCTACCAAAGAAGATGACATTGGACCTTTGGTGGAACACATATATGAGGTGAACATATATACATGCATAAAAATTCAAGGGACTTTGGAATAATGTTCTGCAGAACAATGTGCATATATGCAGCACAGTGCATTGTTCTATGATAACTTCACTAGGCAAAGATTTTCCATTCGCCTTCCCCATGTTCCAATTCCTTCAATAGTAAAAGGATTGCTGAGCATTGTGAGAAACTGTTTTTCCTAACATCTAATTCACTCCCATAATTCCAGAAATTAGACATATACCCAAATTGGCTCTTCTCCTTCAACAAGCTAGATGAGTCAAACCAAACATAAAATGAAGTGCAAATTAAAATCTAATTAAAACCTATGCCCTGAAGTGAATGTGACCTTTTATAATTGCAAGCATATATCATCATTATTTTGTCCTGAAGATTTACTATAATAAACACTTTGCAGATGTGGGCGGGGAGTGAAATGTAATGAATCGATAATCTCTTTGGAATTTGATGGATAGCCCTCGTTTGAGAGTGCAGCAGGATGCATCACACATGGTTCCCGTTTACAAGACAGTAAAAAAGGTTGGATGGGCAATCTCAGAGGGAACTATGGATGACAACATTTTAACAAAATTATGAGTTCACATCATGCAAAACGAGCACTGAGATGGTATTGTATACTAAGCGATGGCAGCATAGGACCTGCTATTCCAGCCACAATGTGAAACTGAGTTTAATATTATTACCACCAGCTAAGCACATTCCCAGATGGAAAAATATTCCTATCTTGATCTTCAGCTGTGGGTCCTTTAAGCTCTTCTTACAAAACATCCACCAGTCCAGGAGAGTTGTTTGAAAAAAACTGACTGGAAGTTAATAGCATTAAAGTGCTGGACTTGAAATAGGCTCATATCAAGGGAGGAAGCCACAAAGGAGAACTGTCAGATTCGGGGCAGTTTGCTCTAGGTTTGGGGGCACCCCAAATGCATGTATTTCTTATGGTGAGCTGTTGCTGATGCATAAGATTGAAGGGAGAGTCTGATTTTGTTGTGACATCACTGAATATGTTGTTGTGTTGCAGAGGATCCCTTGCATTTGATCCTCAGCATCCTGGCAACAACTGAGTCATCAGCCTCACATGGCAGATAATGCAATATGAATGTTTAGATCATGGTTTCAGTCAGCTTAAACCAAATACGACACAGACCATTCACTTGTGATTCTAATTAATGCCTGAACTGTGCAGGAACACCTTTGAAGGAAACCTTTCCACTGACTACCTTGAACAACTCACTTGTTCTTTTATGATCCTCTTCTCCATAAGTTCAGGCCCAAAAGGGATAGGGAGTTAAATTTTTGGCTTTGTTTCTTATCAGGCTCTGAAGCAGAAGAAATGGTTATTAACTCAGTAAAAAATTAGTAATGCAATGCAAGTGTTATGTGATGCCAGGAGGAAGGAGCAATGCAGTGTGTACTGTATTACATGCTTGGTATGAAGCCTGTGGATGGCACTGATAGACCGAGGTGCTGGGATGTTCCATTCTTTAGGCAATGAAGCAGAATTCGAACTAGCTTTTGTAAAAGCAGGAGAAATTGTCAGTTTGGATGGAATGCAAGGCAGCTTGGCTGAAGGCTGCAGATGGGACACTTGAGTGAGAAAAAGGAAGCTGGAGAAGCTATTGGCAGAAAGTGAGGAGTGAGAAACAGGGAAGGAGAGGCAGGACCTTGTTTTGAGGGAAGAGGCACTTTATCAAAGAGAAGGTTCTAAGAAAGCTTCTACCCATTTACTGTGTTCTGTGGGAGGAGAACAGGAATCCTAAGAGCTGAGAGTCAGAAGAACTAGCTAAAGAAAGAGAAACAAAGTAGGCAGTGACCTGGAAAGCAAGAATCCAAGGAAACAATGAGTAGCAGGGGCTGAGTTGAAGAGGAACTGAGAAAGTATGAAGAGGTTAAGCCACACAAAAGGTCCAGCAAAATTATGAACTGCCAAGAAGAAGAAAGTGCTGCCAAGGGCCATGCAAGCCAAGGGCCATTGAATTATTAAGTCTAGACCATGAGGGAGAAGTTTTAACAATTTATGGCTTCTGTGACTTCACCATGGTGACCTGGCAAGGAAAGACAAACAGTGACATGGTACACATGGGGTGAAATCTTGCATAGTGCTGTGGACTGGCAAGATACATCTTTAGGTTTCTAGTTTAATTAATTTTGCTTATTGACTCAACAGTTGCAGAACATTGGGCCAAGTGCCATCAATGATACAATCTTGTATGTGGAATGGCCAGTTCTGAGCAGAAAGGAATTCCTTCTTTACATCCTTCACGTTCAGACCCATGGACCACTGCAGTGTCAAACCAGCTCTGCAATCAACAGTTTGGAAATAAAGGTAAGAAAAATAAAATGGAATCTTTCAGTTTATCTGTATGGTAAATGTTTGCTTTCTTGACCTCCTTTCTAATTTGTCCAATTAATAAGCTAGTTAAGGCAAAATCCTATTCCTAAACATGAATGATACCATTTTAGTGTTATTATTGTTTTATTTTATTGTTGTTTTTATTGTGGTTCTGACTGGAGCACCTATGGCTACTTGGGCCGCATATAAATCAAACTTATTTATTTATTTCTACTTCTATGCTGCCTCATAACCCAAAGGTTCTCTGGGCTGTGTACAAATGCTGAAATAAACAAACACACAAACAAATATGAAAAAAGAAGCCCTTATAAAAGACCAGAGCAGGGCAACAAAAATGATCCAGGGTTTGGAAGCACTGCCCTCTGAGGAGAGAAAGAGAACTGGGCATGTTCAGCCTTGAGAAATGAAGACTGAGTGGGGACATGATATTGCTCTATAAGTACCTCAAAGGCTGTCACAAAGAGGAAGGTCGAGATCTCTACTTGCTGATGCCAGAGTGCAGGACATGGAATAATCAGTTCAAGTTGCGACAACCCAGATTCAGGCTGGACATCAGGAAAAGTTTCCTCACTGTCAGAGCAATAAACACTGATAAGTGCTTTCTCCGTATTGTTCCTCTTTGTCTCCTTGCATCTCCAAAACTGCTTTTTCTCTCTCCTCAGAGATTTTTTCCTCAACTGCTTGTTCCAACAAGTGGATTACTTTGACAGGGCAGTGCTTTGTCCGTGCCGCACAAACTCTCTGCTTTGTAGATTGTATGGTGAAAATGCCACAAGTGAAAGGGAAGATGCTTCAATGAATCTCCTGACACACAGAGCAGCCTCCACACACTGTGACTTCAAGTGACTTTTGTTGCAACTATAGGCCCAAATTAAGAGCAGCAGTGTCCTCATCCATATCCATATCTGTGAGGGAAAGCCTACCATTAGTTTCCCAGGATCTTTCTTAGAGCTTTCCAGTCCTTCGTGTTAGATCAGCCAGCTTGGAGAACCATTTAATTCAGTACATTGTATAAGCTGAGAATTCTTTCCACATGGTGGGCTAAACCCGCATGCTCCTCCTTCACCCGTACCTCATGTATAGCATGTACCCTTCATGTGCTTGGCACAGGGTCAACTTGCATAATCTTTAATCCTCAGTCACTGAGCCTAAAAGCAGAGTGCGGGGGCCTCGTGCTGTATTGTGTGCATGTGCGTGCCTGCATGTGTGTACGTGCGTATAGCTGCTCCTCCACATGTCAACGGGTGAACTAGTGCTGCGAGTACAAATATTTCCCTGTTAATGTTCGCAGCCATATGTTGAGCATACCATGAGACCAACATCTCCCCCAAGCCATTCTTCTGGAAGAACACTTTAATTCTTTCCCTCCAAATAATCATCTCAGAATTTGAACAATGTTGGAAAGTATACCAACAAGTCCTTGGCAAGAGTAGAACTGGAGAGAAGACACGATGTTGTCCTTCTTTCAAGAAGCAGCATGTCTTGGGCCAACCCTGCTGCAGTTAATCTAGAGAGAAACAGGAGCTTCGTGGTTGTGCCGAAGGAGCAGAGGGGAGGGGAACACTGTGGGAGGCTTGGCTCACTTAGTAATAAATCTGAACTCCAGTAAAAGCATTACGTCTTTTACTGGCATGAGGTATACCCCTTTCTTTATGTCTTTCTTCGTATGGCCTATGTGATGTGTTCTAATTTGTTGTCATCCCTATGGTTGCTCTGAGAGAACTTTTCAGCTGCTTGTTTCTGGGAGAACAACTGTATCTCTGTAGGCTGCCTTGAGCACCATTTTTGTTGGAAATGCAGGATAGAAATCAAATCAAATGATCACTGCCAGCATTAAGTATAAGCTTTGATCTAATTCATTCAACCCTCGTGAAATAAAAAGGGGAATTAGCCTATATTTGAGGCTTGTCAGGAAAAAAATCTTTATGTTTCTTGACATTCTGCTGGAGTTACAGAAAAGCAACAATGGATTTAAATTCATTATTCTGAAGTTAGGAACAAAACGCAAATATCAACAACACACATGGGTTCTTCTACAAATGTTATTTATGAAACTTTTCATTCAGAGTTACTTTGCCTAATGCAGAAACCCGCAGCTGGAATAATTAGTTTTCCAGAAGCCCGAGGCAAGTGATCATACTAAAAGTATTTTGTGGTGCCAGTACAATATTACCTTCTAACCACAGGATTTTTAGGCACCACATGCCAAATTTCCACCTGTGTTAATGGTAAACAGAATGTTGCCCTGAGAGTTTAATTCATACAAAATATAGTTACATAGGTCAAAAAATTATCTAGTCTCTTAAAAAAATATTCTTTTGGGCAGGAGTTAATCTTCCTGTATTCAAAGAGTGCAAAGTATCAATTTTCAGGGTAGAGCTGCTAAATGAAACAAGAAAAGGTCAAAGTCAAGCCCACAATGTCTGAAAGAAACCTGTCAGAGCAATTGTGGAGTATGTTTACAGCTCATTTTTCTGTGTCTTTGCAGTTTGCTGTCCCAGAGGACACTCCTGAGCTTGCGGCCTTTTTGCGTAACTCCTCCATCCCCCACTCCGTCGGACGGAGGGAAGCCAAAGTGGTGGAACATCAAAAGAACTCAGCAAGAATTCTGGTGAGAGAACAGGAAAGGAGAGTTCGCTGTAATGAGAGCTCATGAGTGCAGTCTGAAGAATGGGATGATTGCTCTTGTATGCTCTCAGTGCTACCAGGATGAATTTCACTTCCTTTGCCATCTGGGAGGTTGTGCCATGACATTTTACTAAGTACTCTTATATAGGGAAGGAACCAAATGCAAAAGTACATCCACCACAGTGATTCCAGTTCTCACACAGCAGCTCTCATGTGGGACTGCCAGGTTCTTTTAAAGGGACCTCCACATGGGCAGTTCCATCATGTACGTGGATTACCAAAATCTTTGTGTTTCGTTAGAGTCCATGGACTGCAGCCCACAGCTAGAATGTGAAAAAGCTACTTTGGGCAAGCCATAGGGCTTGCCTTAGCATAGTAGAACTGTTGACATTTTCCCTCCTCTAAACAGCATGCTTAATACCAAACTGCTTTTGAAACCCTAGTTATTTCAAAACTAGCTTACTGTATTGGATGTCAGGCTTTTGTATGAAGGGGTAGAAAAGGTTGGAATACCCCATGAGTGCAGAACAGTAGTTGAATGGTTCTTTGTATCCTGGCCCATAAATCTGTTCCATTACTACACCAACAGCAGCAAGAACAAAATATCCTCAGAATACAAGTTGCATGCATGTAGAGGGGAAAAATGGAGTAGCTGCCTGAGTCTTTAATTATGTGACTCTATTTTGGTCTAGTGTGATTATGATTTTTTAAAGATGCCTGCTTTGTTCCTACAAGATAGAGGAATAAACAAATCTGACTAGATTAAAGAGTGATTAAGTAAGAGAAGGTAAACAAATACATCCTCTAAAACGTTGTCGTTCAGTAAATTCTATATAATCAAGTTCCTGGTGAGGAAGTGGACAGGAATCAAGAAAACCAAATCCCTCATTTAGTACTAATGGAAGAACATTTTATGTAAGCTTATATAATTTTGTGTACAAATTTAACTTTGTACTGCCACTTAAAGAATATAAAATTTCCCTCCAGAGACTTGCCTGAGATATAAATTTTCAGAGAATGGGTATAAGAATATGGTACTATACAGTAGAGTGTCAGGTTCTGTGTTTGGGGAATGGGAACTTGGAACATAGAACTTGTACATCTCGGTATTTCTTATGGCATGTGCAATGTTTATGTCAGAGTTAGCTCCACTGTCCTCTTCACTTGATCTTCCCATCAATGATCTCTCATCAAATGTACTTATGTAAAATTAACTTGGATCTGCCTTTAGCATGAAATCCTTCCAAGACAGAGCACAAGATAAAAGAAAAAGTACAAAGCAATACTGTTCAACAGAAACTGATTACAAATAAAACTGGCAGCTCTCAAAGTAAGAGGCCAGCAAAAAAAAAAAGTGGTTCTCCAGAGCTTTGTTGAATCCCTGATGAAAGATCATTCCACTTCCAAATAGCCCTGACCCTTGTTTGCTGGTGAGATTCAGGCAGCCTGCTAACCACATGCCTGCTCAGATTAGTGCTAATTTTTTTTATCAGAGAAACTTCATGTGATTATTTTAGGTCAATTCGACAATCTATCAATGAAGTTCTAACAGTTTTCATACCTACAAGATCTTCACCCAAGGGGTGCTTTATGGCATGAAATACTAAAATTGAACAAAAGTTCTAGGTACCCTGTTATTGAAGATTGTTGGATAAATCGGCACACTCTTTATTGAAAATATCATATATACTACAGAAGGAGCAGTGAGCCAAACATAAACATATATATTACTAAGTTACCATCTAAGAAAGCCAGATTTATTCTTGACAATATATGCAGCGTAAGCAACTAGCTCTTCATTTTCTGTTTTAAATAATCAGGATCTTTTTTCCTTTTTAAAAATGAAAGTCAGTCCCTTTTGAATTCTGTATCTAGATTTAGTAATGGAATGTGTATGTTTAAATGCTGTTATCTGTCTCCAAAAGGTTAATCATGTTATATTATTTCCTACACAGAATTGCACCAATGTAGAATGCTTAGTGATCACCTGTTCAGTTGGACTCTTAGAAAGAGGAAAAAGTGTTGCACTGAAAATACGATCTCGTTTATGGGCCTCCACATTTCTACAAGTAAGGAATAGCAAGTTAAATATTAAGCAGGGCTTCAAGTTTGTATTTTTATGTGTATTATGTACAATTTTTACATGTACCCTTGCTGCAAATCACACTATGTGTGTATCAAAAAAAAACAAGGATCGGGTTGAATTTCCATTGATGGGCAGATTTCCATCAATCTGCCTGAACTGTCAGGTTCAGACCTCCATTTTCAAAATTAGATCTGGAAGGAGTTAAAAATTCTGTTTAAAATGTACAGGTAAATAGGGTCTAAAGATCACCACACTGCCCTGACAAAAAGAAATTGCATAGCCCTGGCAAAGCCTACTTCAGAAATAGACCTCTAAGCTAAATATGAGTTGGGCAAGTGCCACACTCAGCATTCTGCTCTGTCAGTAGGAATTTGCACTAATGTCAAATGTTCTCCTGAGGGGAAGATTCAGTAGCACCCCATCAAAACTGTGGGGACAGTAGGGACGCCTAATCTTCCTCAAAGAAGCCTGAGGAACTTGCTGGAAAAAGGAAGGAACAAGCTCAGTTTTGCAAATGTGATCTCCAGGGTCTTTGCAAGAATCTGACAGATCAGGAATACTTACACAGCCTGGGATAAGAGGTGCCTGCTAGAATTGGCCAACAGTTACTCTTCTCGCCTGTACCTACACAAGGACTTCCTTCCTGGGATTGGCTAACCTATCTTCCTAGATTTGCATAAATCCAACATTCTGAGTCTAAAAAAATTGAACATAATTATTTATGCACCTTGTTGTACTGCTTTTTTAAAAGGGAACCAGCCCCTTCAATGTACCATGGAGCCTTCTTGGAGTGGTAACTCATGGCTGGCAAAACAGCTGGCTTTTGTATTGTCCTCCCCTAAAACAATGGAAAATGGAAAGTCAAACCCATGGCAAGTCTGAAATGCTTCATTTCAGGGAGAGGGGAAGACCTTGGCAGTTGCCCCAATGTACTGCTTAGCAAGAGCAACAAGGAGTTTTGCTATACATTCCAACAGATTCACTTGTTGGGCTTGATCACAATGGGTCACATCATCTAAGTTCAGATGACACAGCCACCTACTGTGAGTTAAAAAGACTCAACTATAAGTCATGGGTTGTCAGGGTGGTTTATAAGCCAAAAATTAGTCATCTTGACAAACTCATCCCTGGTTCGCACAATGTGACAGCCATGTCATCTAAACACATTCTAACTTGTGCCTGCTAATTGGTCTCCAAAAATGTTCATATCTGCACAGGCTTAAATACTTCAGGGATCTCATGAACTGAATGAGTATATATGATACAACCAAACTGCTTTATGCAGACTTTGCCTTTCTCCCATCTATTTATTTTTCAGTAGAATTAAAATCAAAGTAACTTTTCTTCTCATAGAAGCTTATTATAAAGTCTAATGTAGCATAGTACAAATTAATGGAATAGCTCACAGATAGGAAAGTGTAATCTTGATGGGTATCTTGTGATTTATTTTAGGAATAAGGAGTACATGTGTCATTGCCAATAATGAATATATTGTATAGATAAATTCACCTATTTTGCAATTTATTTAAATTTTAAAATTACATTCTAATTTTCTGTAATGTTTTGCTTTGTCAAATGGCAAGTTGCGGTCCATCACCTAAAAGCCTGAAACTACACTTATATGGAGTGAAATGATTAAACATGCTTGGGTAAACAAGCAGCCTAGGTTCTCCCAGTGAGCTAACAAAGATAATGAAGGCAGCTGACTCAAAGCCAAGAAAGGACAGGATCATTTTGGCTTCAAAGCTTGAATGCAATCATGAACATATGTTGAATGTTGTTGTCAGTCTAGCTGAACCAGCAAATTATCAATTGTGTAATTCATACAAAGAAGAAATAGCCTTATTTGGTTAGACTACATTGTGTTCCTGCTATGGCTTCTATTAGCTTTCCATCTATGTAATTTATGACATATCTAATGTGTTTTTAAAATAAACTCTAGTTGAAGAGCTCAGCTATGCATTGCATACTAGCATATGTTGCCATGCTTCCCCCACCAAAAAGAAAACTTCAGAAAGCTGTGATTTTGATTAGAACAGCAGAGGGAAGGAGGAGCTAAACCTTTTCCCTACCCATTGAGGGCCAACTGACTTGCTAGGGGGCTTTGGAATGGAGGCTATGGATGAAGACAGGGATAAGTACTCCCATGATACTTCTATCCTCAATTGTGTAGCCTTCTGAATAATTAAAAAATGTGGTTTGTCCCTAATATATATGAGACACAGATTGTTTAGTGTTGCCAATCTGATGCTTTCTTTTGAGAGTTCATGCTTACATAGAGCATGTTCAGCAGGTGAATCCTGGCTTAATAAACCAGGATGCACGCCACTTGCAGCCACTTCACTCAAGCAATGAAACAAACCAGGGATCAGCAGTTAACTGTAGCTTCCTGCTACTACATATTACATAGTGATGGGGACTTCTGAATCCTGGCTTGTTTGAAAGTCATTAACCATAGTTCCTGTTTCATACATAGCAGGGAGCTATGCTTAACCATGGCTTCCAGGCTGCTTCTTCATTCACTCATGTGGAAGCAGGATCAAAGGATCAGTGCTCTGGTTGTATGTGGATATCCTGGCTTATTGTGTCAGGATTTGATTGTCTGACATGGACCATTACTGTAACCATACTTAAGACCCTTGTAGAAAATTCTGAGATCAACCACTCTTCCCTAACTACTTTTCTTTTCAAATGTCCCCCACCCACTCTGACTGCCAATCAAGCTTTTCACTAGCAACAATTAAGTTTACCACTAGACAAGTTTCCACTTAATTAGGGTGTTTTTACCAGCTTCAATCTCTAGTTTCCCGTTCTGGTTACATGGGGTTCCTGTAACGTATCATTAACATAATGTGTCATTATTAGCTATCATTAACATAACATGAAACTTAACCATTGTTAAAGCAAAAGGAGCAGCTTGCTCCATGACAAAGCAGCACACAATCTGAGTCCACTCCCAAACTCTTAACTATATTTAAGAACTTATATCCTAGTGGTATTAATTTATATTTGGACTTTTGCAGATGGATAAAACACCTGATTTGAATCCCTATGTGCTGCTTTTTAAATTTATACATATGTAATGAAATGCACCAGCTCAGCTTAATGATACCTTTCAAGACTCTACAATTATAAGAATTTTTTCAGTAGGTAGAGCGCTGCCGGATCAGGTCCATTTAGTCCAATATTTCTGTTCACACGGTGACCAACCAGCTGCCCACTGGTGTACGCAGCATGTGCATAGTGTCTCTGATACTGGAGACACTATGCCAACACACAGCCATCAAGACTAGTAGGTGTTGTAGCCTGCTCCTCCATGAATTTGTCTAGTCCCTGTTTAAGGCCATTAGACTGGGGGACATCCCTACATCTTGCAGAAGTGAATTCCATAGCTCACCGATGTGCTGTGTGAAAAGGTACTTCCTTTTATCTGTTGCAAGTATCTGACCAATCAGTTTCATGAGATGAGCCTGGGCTCTAGTCTTTCAGAAGAGAACAAAAAATTATTCTTTCCACTTTCTCCGCACCATGCATAATCTTGAGTGCCTCTTTCATGTCTCTCCTTACTCACTTTTTTCCTAAACAATCTGAACAATCTCAGCTATTGCAAGCTTTCCTCAAGGGAGAGTTGCTCCAACCCAATGCTGCGATCATTTTACTTGCCCTTCTCTGCACTCTTTGCAACTCAATAAAGTCCTTTTTCAGTGTGGTGGCCTGAAAAACTACATACAATATTCCAAGTGTGCTCACCAATGATTTGTATAAGGGACCAAAATCCTGGTGTCTTTGTGTTCTAATACTTTCCTAGTTATACTTAGCATGGAGTTTGTGTTTTTCCCCAGCAGTCACACACTGGGTCAAAATATTCATTGAGCTGTCAACCACAACCCCAAGGTCCCTTTCTTGAATCCCCACTAACAAAATGGGAAAGAGAATCAACTTATTTCCAGGTGTGTTACTGACACTTGCTATTGCTTAAGAATTCTGACAAGCGTGGTCTGAGCTTATCCAGCTCAACAAAGCAGCAAGGGTAAAACCTCAATGTGTTTGCTTATAATTCTTATTTAACGGAGTTTAGTTTTTTACTCCAATAGTCAGCATTGGCTGTGTTTTGTATCCTTGACTACAAGACCTAAACACAATAATATAAGAAGGGGCCTTTTGTTTCCCTGCCATCCCTCCTATTTTTGTTTTGTTTTGATTTATTTCAGCCTTGCATTAATGTTTCAAAGCATTTCCTTTTACATAGATTCATGTTATACATTGTGACAAATTCATAGAGTCAGGTTCAGTGAGAATTCTGAGCATATCTCCAGGTTGAGTTGGATCTTTAGGAAGTGTTACCTTCCATAAATAAAATGCATACACAAAAGCTGTCTTAAACATATAAAGAAAGGAATCAGAGTAAATACTTTTTGGCCTCCATTATATGTTTAGTGGCATTTTTTTTGGCCATTGCTTGATTCCTAGAAGTTGGATCTCAAGCAGAGAAGGAGTGCTAATGAATTCCCAAAGTTCACATTCAAAGGGCAACAGCACATTTATCAGCCCCCTTCACCTAAAATGTGGCAGACATCAGTGGAAATGAGGTGGAACGTCTTTCTTTTTTTAATGAAGCAAGACTAACATTATTACAATAACAAGGTCAGAAAAGAATCTTGCAGGGTATTTCACTTTCAGAAGCAAAGTCCAGAACTACCTTGAGAGGCCACCATGATTCTGAAGAGGTGTCTACTTCTTCCCATAGAAGCAGGCTGATGATATTCTTTGTGAAAGGGAATGCTACTCCTTCCAAACATAGCTCGTCCAGAAAGGACCTTGGGGCTGGGTCCTCTGTAGTAGAACTCCACACATTTTCAAAGGTTGGATCATCATTCGGATGTGAACAGAAATACACCCTACTTGATTCAGCTAATTTTTCCAACTGGCTGAAGCAACTTTTTCCCTTCCTCCTCCTCCTTCCTCAGCCTTCCCACCTGCAAG